TCCAATTTCAAAATAGGGTCCAGAATGAACAATGTAGGCATTCCTGGCACTAAACTAACATTTCCTCTGTTCATTAGTTATGTTTTGAGGCTTTACAAATAAATTCCATTTTGATTTTTTATTCACATAATGAATTTTTATTCACACCAAAAAATAGAAGATTTACTGTTATGCAATACTGTAAATATTGTATAAATATCATCACCATATTTGTGAATGTATATTAGACCCACCAGCTGATGTGTATTAGACGTGTGAGGTCGTTTGTTTACTCTTGAATATCGGCAAAAATTTAACATTTCCGCTACTTTGAGCTCAGTTTCAAGCCATTTCCAATGCTAAAACCAATCAAAATCATCTCTATTTCTGTAATATGTCTTCCATTCTATCAAATGAGACCAAGAAATCGCAAATACAACTATAAAAAACATACGAAAAAACACTGCAAAGTTGCTGTTTTAATCGAAAAATCATGATTTCACTTTTTTTCTCTCATTATACACAGTGTGCTGCAGGATCTGTTTTATGTGGTGCACACATACCACATAGATGTATTCTCTCATATCTAGGCCCAAATGTACCACTCACAGTTTATCAGAGTGAGCCGAGCTCATGGCGTAGATCTACGGTTTGGACCCTGAACGTAAACCCGTAGATCTACGGGACGGACCCTGAAAGGGTTAACATTATGTACAAGGGATACTTACAATATTGCAATTGTTTCAGAGGGCAATACACCTCAAAACAGAAATAAATCACTGTGTTTGACTTTACTGGGTTATCCTAGATTAAATATACTTAAGTGTGTTTTGTAGCTGAATTCCACTGCTAGTATCATGAAACTGTAATAAAAGTGAAATGAATACGTCATCTTTGTGCTACTTCCACACCCTGTTTGCTGGTAGGGAAGCTGGTGGAAGAACAGCAGCTCTAGGTTTCATTTACTTCTGCTAGTTAGGCATACTAGTACAGCGGATACAGTCATCACTTGTGTAGTTAATTATGATATGGTGTGTAGATTCTCATGGCTTTTGATTTTTTTCAAATGTATGAACAGACTGAAAAAAAAAGACTCAAAGAACTGTACTATGGTGAAAAATAATGGCAGGTGGCAGATTTGAAGGTACAAAAAAATTGTGTGTATTAGTACACTGGATACAGTCTAAGGGTTAAACTAACCTCGTCAGTTCAATGTTTATGGAGCAGATGCAAATTATGATAAATAAATGAAAAGTGGGACAGACGGACAGACAAATGGACGGAAAAGTATAATCCAATATAACACCAGAGTTTTACAAGGGATAACAATCTTTAGGCAGTTTAAAAATTTCAAGGGGTTTGCTGTACATAGGCAACCACCATGAAGAGTTAAAGTATTACAGGAAATGTAAAAATATATTAAGAGTAATATCCAACTTTTTATACCTATCACACTACATGGTATCCTAAGGCTCAATTATTTCACTAAATAAAGTAATACAGGAAATTAATACTATTTAAAAAAAAAAAGGAAGTTATCCAGTGACATTTCACTTTAACTACAATACCTTAAGCATAAACAATATTAACCCTTTGACTGTCGTAACCCCCAATCCTGAGGTGTCTCCTGGTGTCGTAAAATTTAAAAAAAAAAAAAAAAAAAAAAATATTTTTTCTTATGAAATGATAGAGAATCTTTTCCCGATTGTAATGACACCAAAAAAACGAAATTTGATAGAAAACTGACGGAATTATGCTCTCGCGAAGTTAGCGACCTCGGCGCTGTTTACAAATCGGCGATTTCGCCCACTTTGAGCCCTATTTTCAGCTAATTCCATTAATCCAGTCGCCCAAACTCATAGCTATTTCTTTAGAACTCCATTTTTTCTATCGATTGAGTACACGAAACTGCCCATTTAACGATTTCAACTACCTAATAATGTGGTGAGAAATTTGCAATTTGGCCAATTTCACGAAAACTAAAAAATATGACAATTTCAAAATAAGGTCCAGAATGAACAATGCAGACATTCCTGGCTCTAAAATAATATTTTCTTTGCTCATCAGTCATGTCTCCAGGCCCCTCTAATATTACTCTTGCTTTCTATTTTGAATTTTTATTCAAACAAAAAATAGAAGACTTACTATTATGCAGACTACTCCAATACTGTAATAATTGTATAAATAACATCAACCCATTCATGACTGCATATTAGAATGGCTAGTTGGACATTTATTGGACAATGGCATCATTTGTTTACTTTTGAACATTGGCAAAAATCAAACATTTCCCCAACTTTGAGCTCCATTTCTAGGTTCTTTTTATAGTAAAATCAATCAAAATCACCACTATTTCTATAATATGTTTTCCATTCTATCAAATGAGACCAAGAAAACGAGAATACAACCATAAATACCATACGAAAATAGACCACAAAGTCGGCATTTTAATTAAAAAAACGGTCGGAGTTTTTTTTTTCTCATTATGCACTGCGTGCTCCAGGATTTTTTTATATGGTGCACACTGACCACACAGACCCATTCTCTCACATGTGGGCCTACCAGCTTTCTCCTGCTTGATTTGAAGCCACTAGAATTTATGAGTATATATACGTCAAACACGGTACCTCGTAAGACGTATATATATACGGCCGCGACAGTCAAAGGGTTAAGTAGAAAACTTGGCATATTTTATTTTGGGCCCCAAAGATATGAGACTGTCAACAATGTAGGCTTCCGAGGCTCCCAGCCAGGTAATTAATGACTTTCATCACACCTGGACCTTACTCTTATAATGTTTGAAGAAAAGCAAATTTATATAAAAGAAATGCTTTTATAAAAAATATTTTCCAGGTTAATAAACTGGAATAGTCAATCCTAAATGTTTGTTTTTTCGGCATGAAGGATCACATTCAAAAGATACATATGAACAAATGTGTAGGAATACCTTGTTGAGGGTGAGCATTGGAACAGGAACAAGTGAAGAGACAAGACCTGGATCTGGATGAGAAGTGTCTCAATAAGGAGAAAAAATGCCAGTGCTTGACCCAGCTTCAGGATGAGATGATGGCAATTTGGCAGTCAGATTGTAGTCTTAGCACAGGGGGAGAAGGGGAAAACAATATACGTGTATTGTCTTCACTTCTGTGGTCCTAATAGTGTGCAGGAGCCAGGAGTATGGTTCCATACTCCTAGGTAGGTAGGTAGTCATGGTGCCCATGGTAATTGGCATAAATGCACAGCTCTCAAAGAAGTAAGTTTTGATACCACAAATCACGTAAACCATTATGTTAAATTTGCAAATCTTTATTGTGATTAACAAATTTCATTGTTCTATTGTGTAATCTTCGGCAGGTTTCTTCAGCAGTCAATGATATGCAGCAGTCACTAGTTGTGAAGATTATGACTGACTACTTTTCTTCAGTCTCAAATTTACTCTAAGATGTGGCTGGACCTTCTGAAGTTGCAGCTACAATAGATATAACCGTTTATTATATTTCTTTTTTACCATTAAGGTCTTCTAATGCTATGTATGAGGAATACTTATACACAATATTACAATTGTTTCAGAGTGTAATACTTCTCAAAACATGGAAATACTTTACTGGGTTATCCTGGGTTAAATATGTTTAGTGTGCTCTGTGGCTGAATTCCACTATTAGTAGCATGAATATGTATTAAATCTAGAATGAATAGGTCATCTTTGTGCCACTTCCACACACTGTTTGCCGATAGGTTAGCTGGCAGTGGAACAACAGCTCCTGGTTCATTGTTTACTTTTGCTAGTATGCCAGTTAGGTGTACTAGCACAGACACAGTCATCACTTCTGTAGTTAACCATTATACACTGTGTGACCACAATGGCCTTAGATTTTTTTCAAATGTATCAACAGATTGAGGAAGACCCAGAGTTGTGCTAAAGTCAAAAATATTGGCAGGTGGCAGATTTGAAAGTACAAATAATTGTGCTTACTAGTACATCAGACAGAAATAGCATTTGCGTACTAGTGTACTTCAAACACAGTTCAAAGGTTAAGTCAATTATTCTTAGCTATTTCACTAGTATGCCTTCTGTTCTATAATGTGAGGACAAGAAACCTCCCCATTCAACTATCAGACCTACCCCTACAAAGAACACAATTTGGAAATTTGGCCAATTTTACGCAAAATAAAAAAAAAATAATTTTAAAAAAATTCTAAAATAAACACTGTAGACATTCCAGGCATTAAAACATTTTCTCTATTCATTAATCATGTCCCCAGGCCTCATCTACATTACACTTACCTTCCATTTTGAATTCACAAAAATTCAAAGATTTACTCTATTTCTTGAATAATAAAATATAACCAGGAATGACTGGTCCTGGTTAACACTTCCCAATAATTGAATCAGGCCTATTAAAAACCCACAAAACAAACTGGGGGGAGGTGCAGAGAGGCCTTACTATTCTCAGGACAATCAAAAATTAAATATATCTGCTAATTTGAGCACAATTTCAAGTTACTTCCTACCCAGAAACGAACTAAAATCATCTCCGTTTCAGTAGCATATCTTCCATTCTATCAAATGATACCAAGAATCAGCCAATAAAACCATAAAAACCATTCTAGAAATCACTTCTGAAGTCACTGTTTTAAACTAAACATAAGGTCAGTTTTGTTTTTCCCATCATGCCCAGTTTAGGGAAGGATTTTTTTTATGGGTACACTCACTGCACAGACCCATTCTCTTATATTTAGGCCAAAATTTACCTCTCAAAGATTATCTGAGGGAGCTGTGCTTATAACACAGATCTATGTGAGGGACTCCGCATCAATAACATTGATGTGATGGCCACTGAAAGGGTTAATGAAGTCCAGTACAGGACAAAAAACAAAAAACAAAAAAAAAAAAAAAGTTTCCCTGCAAATATAGTGTCTTTCTCGCTATTTATCAGCTTACACCATTGTTAATCCACAACACCCACTAGTAATAAGAAATAATCTAAGTTCACACATTAGGAAATTTCTAGATTTCAGGATTCAACTATTAAATTTATTCCATTGTTCAAACACATTAAGACCCTTAGATAATTTTTTCTTCATAATGTTTCATCAAAAGCAATAAAGAACCTTGGAGGAATCAGCCCATTCAAAGGTACACAGACCTTAAATGTGTCATTATAGTATTTAAGTAGCATCACCAGCTCTTGCGAATTAACAATACAGTGGACCCTCAGCTAACGATGGCATCAGCTAACATTAAATTCAGCTAACGATACATTTTAACACAAACATTTTGCCTCATCTAACGTGAAAAAACTCGCCTAACGATATTCAGTCTCGGTTACCAATTAATATCGTTAGGTGAGGGTCCACTGTATTTCCTTAAAATTAATAAATTTGCATTACTGGACATCATAATACATGTATATTCAACAGATTAATAAGGCATCCAACTGTAAGGTAAATTTTAAGCAATAAAAAATTAATACACCTACCATCCGACTTACGACCTGCTCGACTTACGACCACTCGACTTACGACCTTGTTTTTTTTTGCCAAATTTCTGGGAAATAAACAACTACTTGTGTTGTACACAGTGTTTATCCTAAAACCTTACAGTATAAAATACAGTACTAACAGCATAAAAAGTAAAGTAAAACATGAAATACCCAAATAAAACAATAAAATAAAGTCATTACAAAAATGTGATGTTGATATTCAGTAGTAAAGTTCGACTTACGTCCATTTCAACTTGCAACCGGTTTCTCAGAACCGAATTCGGTCGTAAGTCGGATGGTAGGTGTATATTTTTTTTACACTGTCTCTAGCTCTATCATTTGTTTATGACCTTTACAGAGCATCTTGTCTGCTTAACTATCATAATGAATTAAAACCTACTGTACCTTATACAGTGGACCCCCGGCATACGATATTAATCCATTCCTGAGAGCTCATCGTATGTCGAAATAATCCTAAGGCAAATTAATTTTCCCCATAAGAAATAATGGAAATAAAATTAATCCGTGCAAGGCACCCAAAAGTATGAAAAAAAAAAAAAGTTTTACCACATGAAATATTAAGTTTAATGCACACAAACTGAAGAAAACATGCACAGTTAGTAGTACTCTACTAACAACAGAATACATGACACTTACCTTTAATGAAGATCTGGTGATGATTGATGGGATGGAAGGAGGGGAGAATGTCGAACTTATTGTTTAGAAGGGGAATCCCCTTCCATTAGGACTTGAAGTATCAAGTCCTTTTCTGGGGTTACTTCTTCTTTTAATGCCACTAGGACCAGCTTGAGAGTCACTGGACCTCTGTCGCACAATATATCTGTCCATAGAACTCTGTACCTCTCGTTCCTTTATGATTTGTCTAAAGTGGTTCACAACATTGTCATTGTAATAGTCACCAGCACGGCTTGCAATAGCTGTGTGAGGGTGATTTTCATCCATAAAGGTTTGCACTTCAAGCCACTTTGCACACATTTCCTTAATCTCTTTTTTCGATTCCATACTAATTCTCACCCTTTTTACCACAGGGATGGGGTCCATGGTGACTTATTTTGTAGTTACAAGCACTAAAAACACTGGGATAATGTGAAATGTACTGAATGTATGCGTAGATGCGACCACACTGGCTGGCTTGTGAACACTGGCGCTGAGGCCACATGTGGGACGCGTCCCGGACGAATCGCGTGAGGCGAGTTTAACGTGAGGAGAGGCAAAATTTTTGTGTTAAAATGTATCATATGCCGGATTTAACGTAAGGTGATGCCATCGTATGCCGGGGGTCCACTGTACTGTGTACATACACATGTATTTGACTTTCCATGCATCACATCACCGTTTTAAAACCTTAATGTAATCATTTTTAACATTCAGCAAAATAAATTACATAAATACAAAATATATACTATACTCTCTTAAGAATAAAACTTCTGAGTGCCATTCACAGATTCATAAACCATCTCATGAAAGTGAACTGAATCTCAAAACAGTTATGTTTGTTATGTCCAATGACCAGTACAGTATTTAATATAGGTGCTCCTCAACTTACAATGGGGCTACATTCCAATGAACCCATCGTAATTCGAAAATATTTTAAGTCAAAAATATGATATGCTAAATAAGTAAATAAACAATTGTCAGTAAATAACTAAATATACAAATAATTACTGTAACTGACTAAATACCAATACTGAAAAGCAAGAAAAATGTACACAATTACGGACTGGCCGCCTTCACCTCCAAAAGTAATTGCTTTCACACTATCGTAAAGTCAAAATATCGTAAATCAAGAAGCACCTATATTTCTTTTCACTTTGGACATGTACTATGCATGCCTTTTACAAACAGTTCTTCCAAATTATCAACAGTTTTAGTTAATATTTTATGATAAATATTTTTCCAATAATTCCTGCTCTAGTAAGTAAATGTACTAAATTTCAGCCTCAAACAATTTATATTTTGCTATAATCTGCAGTTAAAAATGTAATATTTGATCTTTTAAGTTAAGAAATTAGTTAAATTTTTGGGGACAAGCTCCTAAAAAAAGTACAATAAAAGATAAACAATTCTTAAGAGTATATTTTCAGAACCACTTCTTCCAAGTACTAAAAATTGTACAGGAATCAACAAAACCACATATACAAATAGTCAACAATAATAAAAAAAAAGTACAGCTATCAATATTACATACATAATATTACCTGCACTACATATATTTACATATAAATCTTTATGTGCCTAATGTTCATGACCTATCTCTTCAAGGTATGCAATGCCCATCATAAGAGCAACACCACTAAGCAAGGCCACTACTTCAAACACAGACTGCCAGAACCTAGTGTTTTCTAGCAGCTCTGGGATAACAGACACAGTTGCAATGTAAATAAAGCCCCCAGCAGTGAATGGGAGAATCCATGCTGTGGCAGATTCATCTGTGGAAGAAAATTATCAAGTCATTTAGGCTAAAAACATGCTTGATAAATTGGGCAAGAACCTCTGCAATTTTTAAAAAAAAAACATAACAATGTTTACTGCTAATTACATGTGACTTTTTAAACTGTAGCTAAGAATATTAATTACTTTATGAAGAAATAGATGAGATAACCTATGCAGCTGATATGGTAAATAAATGGTCAAATTCCTCAGAATATTAACCCTTTGACTGTCGAAACCCCAAATCCTGAGGTGTCTCCTGGAGTCGCAAAATATTTGAAAACAAAAAAATTATTATTTTTTCTTATGAAATGATAGAATCTTTTCCCAATGGTAATGACACTGAAAGTACAAAATTTGATGGAAAACTTATGGAATTACGCTCCTGCAAAGTTAGCGACCTTGGCGATATTTACGAATCAGCGATTTTGCCCACTTTAAGCCCTATTTTCGGCTAATTCCATTGTTCCAGTCGACCAAACACAACTATTTCTTTAGAACTCCATTTGTTCTATCGATTGAGTACAAGAAACTGCCCATTTACTGATTTCAACTACCCATTAACGTGGTCAAAAATTTGCAATTTGGCCAACTTCACAAAAATTAAAAAATATGACAATTTCAAAATAGGGTCCAGAATGAACAATGCAGACATTCCTGGCACTAAAATAACATTTTCTCTGTTCACCAGTCACATCTCCAGGCCCCTCTGATATTACTCTTGCTTTCTATTTTGAATTTTTATTCAAACAAAAAATAGAAGATTTACTGTTATGCAGACTACTGCAATATTGTAATAATTGTATAAATAATGTCAACCCATTCATGACTGCATATTAGAATGGCTAGTTGGACATTTATTGGACAATGACATCATTCGTTTACTTTTGAACATCGGCATCAAGGTTTTGAACATCCATTTCAAGGTTCTTTTCATAGTAAACCCAATCAAAATCACCACTATTTCTATAATACGTTTTCCATTCTATCAAATGAGACCAAGGAAATGAGAATACAACCATAAATACTATATGAAAATACACCACAAAGTCGGCGTTTTAATCCAAAAATACGGTCGGAGGTTTTTTTTTTTTCTCATTATGCACTCGTGCTGCACGATTTTTTTTTATATGGTGCACACTGACTACACAGACCCATTCTCTCACATGTGGGCCTACTAGCTTCCTGCTTGATTTGAAGCCGCTAGAATTTTTGAGTTTACTACATACGTCAAACACGGTGGCTCGTAAGACGTATATATATGACCGAAACAGTCAAAGGGTTAACAAGTTATTTTATTAATCAATACATTAGAGAAACAACTTTAGCAAAAAGAAGAAAACACAGTATCAATCTTGGATTTAGTAATTAATGAAAAAATAAATAAAAATTCTAAATATAAATTATCTAAACCCACTTGAATTTTTATGCCGGGAGCAAGGGGTTAGTAACCCCTTCTCCTGTATAAATTACTAAATTTAAAAAGAGAAACTTTTGTTTTTCTTTTTGGGCCACCCTGCCTCGGTGGGATGCGGCTGGTTCATTGTAAGAAGAAAGACAAATTTTTATTAACATGTTCTATGGAATTTTTTTTTTACTACACACTGGTTGTCTCCCACTGAGGTAGAGTGACCCAAAAAATAAGAAACATTTTTACCATTATCAATCCAATACAGTCTTGCCAGAGGTGTGCCAACACTACAGCTCAGATGCCCCTCCATGCTGCAATATCCCCACCCCTTCTTTTGAGTGCAGACACTGTATTTTCCACCTCCAGGATTCAAGTCCAGCTAACCGGTTACTCTGAATCCCTTCATAAATGTTGCTCACAATCCAACTGATCATCACATCATTAAAAACCACTTGCCTCCACTCCTATCTAACACGCTCAGACACGCCTGCTGGATATCCAAGCCTCTCACATACAAAACCTTGACCACCTCCATCCATTATTTCCTAGGGCAACTCCAACCACTCCTTCCTTTCACTAGATTTATACACCCTCCAAGTCATCCTATTTTGCTCCATCCTTTCTAAATGTCCAAACAAACCACCTCAATAACCCCTCCTCAGCCCTCTGGATAATACTCTTAGCAACCCCACGCCTCCTTCAAACTACAAATTCTCTGCATAATAGTCACACCACACATTACCTTCAGACATAATATCTCTCACTGCCTTACTATCCTCATAAAAACTCTTAACTGTTTTAACCCTTTCAGGGTCCAGAGGCCAAATTTCAAAGTGCACACCAGGGTCCAAGAATTTTCAAAAAAAAATTTTTTATTTTTTCTTATGAAATGGTAGAGAATCTTTTTCTGAAGGTAATAAAACAAAAAGTACGAAATTTGATGGAAAATTGACAAAATTATGCTCTCGCGAATTTTGATGTGTCAGCGATATTTAGAAATTGACGATTTTGCCGACTTTGACTCCCATTTTAGGCCAATTACATTATTCCAGTCGACCAAATTCTTAGCTATTTCACTAGCATTACTTCTATTCTATCGATTGAGCACATTAAATTGCCCAGTGAACTGTTTCAACTACAAAATAAAGTGATCAGAAATTGGCAATTTGGCCAATTTAACACAAAGTTCAAAATATTCCAATTTCAAAATAGGGTCCAGAATAAACAATGCAGGCATTCCTGGCACTAAACTAACATTTCCTCTGTTCATTAATTATGTTTTGAGGCTTTACAAATGAATTCCATTTTGATTTTTTATTCACATAATGAATTTTTATTCAAACCAAAAAATAGAAGATTTACTGTTATGCAATATTTTAATATTTGTATAAATATCATCACCACATTTGTGAATGTATATTAGACCCACCAGCTGGCGTGTATTAGATGTGTGAGGTCGTTTGTTTACTCTTGAACATTGACAAAAATTTAACATTTCTTCTACTTTGGGCTCAGTTTCAAGCCATTTCCAGTGCTAAAATCAATCAAAATCATCTATTTCTGTAATACGTCTTCCATTCAATCAAATGAGACCAAGAAATCGCAAATACAGCTATAAAAAACATACGAAAAAATGCTGTTTTAATCGAAAATTACAGTCTCAGTTTTTTTTCTCTCATACACTGTGTGCTGCAGGATTTGTTTTATGTGGTGCACACATACCACATAGATGTATTCTCTCATATCTAGGCCCAAATTTAACGCTCACAGCTTATCAGAGTGAGCTGAGCTCATGGCGTAGATCTACGGTTTGGACCCTGAACGTAAAGCCGTAGATCTATGGCACGGACCCTGAAAGGGTTAAGTAACCTACCACCTATTCCATACACTTGTAACATCTACCACATTGCTCCCCTGCCCACCCTATCATGTCTTTACTAAATCCATAAATGCAATAAAAACTTCCTTACCTTTATCTAAATAGTGTTCACTTACATGCTTCAATGTTAACACTTGGTCTACACACCCCCTACCCTTCCTAAAACATCCTTGCTCATCTGTGATCCTTTTCTGCCTTATCCACTTAACCTGGTATACTCAACAGGCTTATTCTCCTATAATTCTTAATCTCTCTAATCCCCTTTTCCTTTATACAAATGAACTATGCATGCTCTCTGCCAATCCCTAGGTACTATTCCCCCTTTTCCATACATTTACTAAACAAATGCACCAACCACTCCAAAACTATATCCCCACCTGCTTTTAACATTTCTGTCTTGATCACATCAATCTCTGCTGTTTTACACCCTTTGCTTTTACCCACAGTCTCAAGCTCCTCACCCATACCCACATCTGACTCTTCCTCACTCCTAAATGATATCAGGCCTCCATAGCTAATACATGAAAACAATGCACAAAATAACTCTTGGAAAGAGAAAAAAGAAAAAGCAATACACACTATACAGTGGACCCCCGCATAACGATTACCTCCGAATGTGACCAATTATGTAAGTGTATTTATGTAAGTGCGTTTGTACGTGTATGTTTGGGGGTCTGAAATGGACTAATCTACTTCACAATATTTCTTATGGGAACAAATTCGGTCAGTACTGGCACCTGAACATACTTCTGGAGTGAAAAAATATCGTTAACCGGGGGTCCACTGTATTATAGGAAAGGAATGATGATGGTCAGAGAAACAGTGGAAAAAATATTAATGATACTTGTAATCAGTTTCAAGGGTTCTTCTATTCTGGCAGTCTAGCCTTAGGCTAGGCTGTTTTGTTGATTAACCAGCCTGCTGCCTCACACACCACAAACAAATTTTACATAGAGTTCTATAACTTAATATTATGAAAAGGGACAAGTTTATTCTAAAGGGAAGAAAATGATAAAACAATGAAAACTGGTTTTATGGAAAGTATGAGATGGTCATGGAAAAAATGGACCTGGAACTAATACAGGAAGTGTGCTAACTCAGAGACTTACGAACAATTTAAATTTTAAATTTTCCAGAAAAGAATATATAAAAAAAAGGAAAAAGGAAGTAGTATAACATAGAAATGTAAGGAGGATGAAGAAATAAACTGAAAAAGAAATGTTAAACAAGAGGAAGACTAACCAAATTTGAAGTGCAGAGGCAGAACTTACTATGATAGAATTCAGCAATTTCTATTATCTTTTAGAAGTTTAAATTACTTACTACTACTATTCTTCCTGCTGACAGTTGCCTAACTTTTTCCTATCTGGGTTTTTAAACAAACCTTGGAAGTACCATATTTTTTCTTGAACTCTGGGAATAGTTCTATGACATAAGTTTTCAGTGATTCTTAAACACCTTATATCAAAATCTCGCATCATGTGCCTCACCAAAAACAAGCATATTCACCAGGTTTCATAATGTACTATGATTATATATGAGAAGATAATTACTGAATATTTAAAATTTTTGTGGAGACAAACTCCCTCATATGAACCCTCATTTGATGCTGGAAATGAGCTCTTGATCCTCCCCTTCTTTTGATCAAACTTGATTGTCTTCCATTCCCCATGTTCTGTAAGACCCCTTACATGTTTAGTGCTTCCCATGATTATTACAACAATAATAATAATGAAAGGGCCCAAATTTTTAATTCATTGCAACCTTGTAGAACCTAGTGGCAACTAGTGTCTCCAGGACTATAACTCATGTGAATACAGTTGTTGTACTACAAGAAATAACTTAGCCTAGTACAATATTCTAATCTTTGATGTCAAACATGAAGTTATAGCATGAAATACACTGAATCAATATAAATAAAAAAAAATGGCACCTTACCTGCACCCTCAGCTAACAAGGAGATCAAGGTGCCTGTTAAAGCTCCAACAGCTGTAACCAACTGTAGCATCATGGCCTGAAATGGAAAATATTTATAAATTTAATAGTGATTTAAGTGTATGGAGGTAACTTTACACACTTCTTGAATGCTATACAGTACATGATTGATTAACCATAAAGAGGACATAGTGATAAGGACAAAAATAAAGATTGATAATTATTCACACAGTATTGCACTGTAAAATGTAAATATTCTTGCCAATGTGAAAAAGCAACAAATAATATGAATTCTAAATAACATCCTGTGATTCAATATTTATGAAACAATTTAAAATTGAGACTAAATTTGCCAGGTGAAGTAATACTGTCTGTATGCACAATATGCTTACTTTTTTCCGACTACATCCGGACTGAAGAAGAATTGCAAAGTCTCCGATTTCATGAGGGATTTCGTGAAGAAAAATGGTGACTGTGGTTACTATGCCAACACTCCTGCCAGCAAGAAAGGAGGCACCAATGGCAAGACCATCTGTCAAGTTGTGTGTAAAATCTGCTGCAAGATTGAGGTATCCAGCAACTTTTATATCTCCTGTAAAAAATAATTCAGTTTATAAACTCAGCCAAAATTTTGTGTTAATTAAAACAAATTAAATTTTATTCTTAAGTATGGTACTTACACAAGTAAAAAGTTTATTTGTGCTCCTAATATAAACACTATTCAATTCATCATAAATACCAACTCAACAGATTTAATTATTACTCTTTGGCCACTTGGATCATGGTTGCAGCTTCTCCCTTCCATCTCCCAGGATTGAATTCATCTTGGTCACAAGCTACACTTACCACAACATTCACAGGATCTAACACTTACCTCAGTTGTCCTAATTGCTGCCCTCCCCATCTCTACATGCTTGGTTATTGTGTGTTTAACTTTCATTATCCACTACTGGCCATATAACCTCTAACATCATTAATCAACTCTTTGATTATTTTCACACCCAGTTTGATTTTTATTTTCATTCTGTCCCAATTGGCTGCTTGCTTCTGCTAAGTTAAAACCTGCTGTCATCATGGGAAATTTTCATAATTAAAGTTAATATTTAACATGCTCCTGAAGAATAGCAATCTACAAGCACTAGTGGGCAATAGAAGGATTCCATGTTCATTATATTTTGCTGAACTAATGGTAGACTAACTGGGTGTGTGTATACAATCCCAGATTGCCAGGGACATAACATTTTGGTTGCCACATTACTTAACAGTAGTTTTTCACTAACTTACTCTTGTATCTAAAGTATTCAGAAAGGCCTAAATATTTCCTCAGTGGTTCTTATACTTATTAGTCCCCACCATCCACTTCTTACTGATCATGGATGACAGTCATCTTCCAGTTTATACACCTCAGTGGTGCCTTCCACACCTCACTCACCATTTGCCACTCAAATCACAAGCTGATGCAGAGCATTCCTCATTAATTTCTAGCCCAGTTCCTAGTGATTTGGCCTGTTCTTAGGCTTGGTTCTCCCTCAAATTCCAACAAAGATGACTGATGCTGACTTCTATGCAGACTGTCAGTTACCTGGGAATTTTTAAGCTAGGTTTTTGTTTTAAATTATTTTGGATGAAAAGTTTTCAAGAGTAGCTATCAGTCATCTGTCTGAACCTGTTATTTGTTAGGCAGGAATGTGACGATCAACATTTTGGCGAATACTTCTTTTGTGTAACAAGATATTCTATTATCTTCCATCACTTGAATTCAATTACATATTAGGGTGCAGTCTTGGGATAAAAGAACTTCCTTTATACTGATATTTACAGTTGGCACAACAGATTATGCTTCAAAACCATTTTATGGCTAGCGGTGGCAATGACTATTTAAAGGATTGATGTTCGTCAGGGTTTACTCCACCTGTATACAGCACCCCTGGCTATTATGACTTGTCACTTACAGACTTTTCAGTCATCCCTCCAGCCCTCTCAAGTTTGTTTAACCATAACTCAGGATATTCTAAGATCTGCAGATTTTTTTTTATCTACCACACCTCTTTTGGCTCATGGCCTGGTAGGCAAAGTTTTCGCTTCACACGCTGAGGGGTTCGGTTCGATTCTCAGAAAGAGTGGAAACATTGGTCGTGTTTCCTTACACCTGTTGTCCATGTTCACCCATTAGTAAAATGAGTACCTGGGTGTGGGTCACATCCTGGGACAAAATTGACCTAATTTGCCCGAAATGCTCTGCATAACAAGGGGTTTTCTATATAGTAGTGTGTCACTGAAGTCAGCTAGGCCTGTATACCTTGTACATGTACGTGTAGAAAATAAAGATATTATTAATTACCTCAAACCAAACACTAATGCCACCATGGAAGGAAACCATTTCAGCTAAAGTTATTAGGACTAGGTTCTGCCATTTTAACTTTGCTTTATTAGGACATCCAGTTTTTTTTTTTTATTAGAAAGATTAACAATCAATTTTTTAACATCTGTACTACATTCCTTATCACCCAAACCTACTTTTAAAAAATTAAACCTTTCCATTTTAAGTTATATACAGAAAAAAAAAGAGGAAACTGCCTCTCATTCCAACATTTTTAAGTCAGCTAAAACACAAATGGCTATGGAAAGGGAGGCAGGTAGGTAAGCAGCATGTGTCTTGTAATTAGCAGATGGATGATCAAAACCTCTACCAGTAACTGAACTAAATAACCCACATAGGTTTACCGATTCACAGAAACTAAAAAAAATGAAAGGTCTCTCACAGCTTCTGTTAAAGAAAAGGGAAAGAAACATTACAGGATAACAACTACAGTGGATATAATACAGTACATATTTATAAAGACAGTGAAGTAGCATTGTGTGTGTACTGCACTGAATTAAATTATGAGTTTCTAAGATTTACCAGTCTTTTAACATCATGAAATTAATCATAAAATTAAATTTTCAGTCTTTCTCTTTTCTCTACAGAGTTCACATTTATCATAAACTTTACGTCTACTTCACAAAGTAAATGTTTAAGGACCACAAAATAAATTACACACCTTCAGTTTTTTTTGACACATGTTTAGAATTTTTCTTTTTGTCATTCTTCTTTTCTTTCTCCCCATTTGATTTCTCTTCAGAACTCTTAGATTTGTCGTTCTGACCTACAGGCACAGCATGGACGTGTGAGTGCGAGTGGCTCCCCTTGAAAATGCGAACAAACTTCTCCACAACAAGAAATGCAATAATGCCTCCCAGTACAGCCAGCCCAATACTCATGTCATGGCCATGATCAACCTCACCATTGCCTTCACGAGTATCAGTGTGTGAATGAGAGTGTGAACGAGTGTGAGAATGCGAGTGTGAATGCGAGTGTGAATGCTCACCACCACCACCTGCTGCTGCTGCCTTAGCCATAAGAGCATGAGGAATTAGGTGTAAGAATGCATCTCCAAGAAGGCCACCCGAGGCAAAGGCAAGGAGGACCTTAAGGTAAGGCTCATGCTCCTTGCTGTTAGTTACAGGGATAAAGAAGAGAATTAGGTATGGTGCTATACTAATAAGTAGAGTGGCACAGACTCCCTCAAGCCAGATGCTCGATTTCTGAGAACTGGCATCTCCAGATGAGGGATGAGACTCATCAGTGGCACGGGGTTTATCAGGGGCGTGTGGCACTTCATGGGCGTGTGGTACTTCGTGGGCGTGTGGCACATCATGGGCGTGTGGCACATCATGGGCGTGTGGCACATCATGGGCGTGTGGCACATCATGATGGTCTTCATCACGATACGCTTCATTTGCCTGTTTACTCCACTTAAATGCTGGGGGTTCTTCATGTCCATGACTGTGTCCGTGGTGTCCATGACTATGTCCATGACTGTGTCCGTGGTGGTCATTGCTATGGCCGCACACTAGTGGAAGCGACAGAAATATACATATTACTAACGTAACGGGTATAACAACTCTTAACACAAACTGCTTCATGTTCCTCTGGAGATTAAACAGTTATATTGACGAGCTGTGACGACCTCACTTGTTCCTAGGCACCAGCGGGAGATATAAATATGATGTCATTACGCGCATTTTTTAAATATCCATTGTTTATTTAACAAATAATAAAAAAAATCTTTATTTCTTATAAACATACATAGAAGTTACAGTAGTTAGGGTTACAGTTCATTTAGTTACAGTTTTGAAAAAATTATGAGACAACTACAATTTGATACAGTTGCAGGTAAAACAATTATGTATACTTTTATAGTGAGGTATCATACACAACTGACATTGAGTTAAATAACATGAATAAACTACTTTATAGAAGCTCCCTTATTATGCAAAGAATTTTGGTCATTGTTTATGGATGGGAGCTCCGAGGGGCATTTTGCAAGTCAATACCTGCTACCCTTGAACATTATAAAATTCCAGAAGCACTATGCCTACTGTGGTCTTTAAGATAGGGATATAGCAGATTAAATATTCATAATGTACTTTTTATGGGCCCATAACATGTATGTGCTTTCAAGACTACTGTAAAATAAATTATATATTATGTGGTAGGCAACACTCGCTTCACACTGAGGTTCCGTGGTTCGATCCCCGGCAAGGGTCGAAGCATTGGGCCCATTTCCATATCTTTATTTACTACAAGTACATACATGTACATGGTATACAGGCTTAGGTGACATTAATGACATATTATTATATAGAAAGCCGCTTGTTATGCTGAGCATTTCGGGCAATTAGGTCAGTTTTGTCGCAGGATGCGACCCACAGCAGTCGACTAACACCCAGGTACCCATTATTACTGATCGATGAACATGGACAGCAGGTGTCTGATGGAAACACGTCCCTAATGTTTTCCAGCCCTACCGGAGGAGATTCGAACTCCAAACCAGTGTGTGAGCTAAGTGCGCTACCGATCGAGTTACCTGGAGTTTACCTGGAGAGAGTTCCGGGGGTCAACTCCCCCGCGGCCCGGTCTGTGACCAGGCCTCCTGGTGGATCAGAGCCTGATCAACCAGGCTGTTGCTGCTGGCTGCACGCAAACCAACGTACGAGCCACAGCCCGGCTGATCAGGAACTGACTTTAGGTGCTTGTCCAGTGCCAGCTTGAAGACTGCCAGGGGTCTGTTGGTAATCCCCCTTATGTGTGCTGGGAGGCAGTTGAACAGTCTCGGGCCCCTGACACTTATTGTATGGTCTCTTAACGTGCTAGTGGCACCCCTGCTTTTCATTGGGGGGATGGTGCATCGTCTGCCAAGTCTTTTGCTTTCGTAGTGAGTGATTTTCGTGTGCAAGTTCGGTACTAGTCCCTCTAGGATTTTCCAGGTGTATATAATCATGTATCTCTCCCTCCTGCGTTCCAGGGAATACAGGTTTAGGAACCTCAAGCGCTCCCAGTAATTGAGGTGTTTTATCTCCGTTATGCGCGCCGTGAAAGTTCTCTGTACATTTTCTAGGTCGGCAATTTCACCTGCCTTGAGAACCTTCAAAACTAGGGAGGCCAAGCCCTTGATGACACTCTTCAAGTCACTTGTTCTATCTAGGCTGGAATATTGCTGCGCACTAACAGCACCTTTCAAGGCAGGTGAAATTGTTTCCCTGGGACCTTGATCACTTCTGAAGTGATCAAGGTCCCAGGGCAGAAACGTTTTCTAATAAATATGTTATAGTGTTTGCTTATGTGTCTTTCTAAACCAACTTGTCGGTATTTATTACCAAGGTTTATACCATACACGAGTTAAATTTTTATAACGATCTTGAAGTTACACAGGTGTTGTGACCCCTGCAACCATGAATAGGTGAGCACACACACACACACACACTGGAGGACAGGAAGGTTAGGGGAGACATGATAACGGCATACAAAATACTGCTTGGACTAGACAAGGTGGACAGAGACAGGATGTTCCAGAGATGGGACACAGAAACAAGGGGTCACAATTGGAAACTGAAGACTCAGATGAGTCAAAGGGATGTTAGGAAGTATTTCTTCAGTTATAGAGTAGTTAGGAAGTGGAATAGTCTGGCAAGCGATGTAGTGTAGGCAGGAACTATACATAGTTTTAAGACGAGGTATGATAAAGCTCATGAGCAGGGGTGAGAGGACCTAGTATCGGTTGGTGAAGAGGCGGGGCCAGGAGCTGAGTATCGACCCCTGCAACCACAATTAGGTGAGTACACGCACACACACACACACACACACACAACGACATAGCATCGAAAGTCAAATCTGACCCGAAACTGCTGTATAGCCACATTAGGAGGAAGACAACAGTCAAGGACCAGGTGATAAGGCTGAGGAAAGAAGGTGGAGAACTCACAAGAAACGATCAAGAGGTATGTTTACCTGGAGAGAGTTTCGGGGGTCAACGCCCCCGCGGCCCGGTCTGTGACCAGGCCTCCTGGTGGATCAGCGCCTGATCAACCAGGCTGTTGCTGCTGGCTGCACGCAAACCAACGTACGAGCCGCAGCCCGGCTGATCAGGAACTGACTTTAGGTGCTTGTCCAGTGCCAGCTTGAAGACTGCCAGGGGTCTGTTGGTAATCCCCCTTATGTGTGCTGGGAGGCAGTTGAGGAGCTCAACACGAGATTTAAGGAAGTATTTACAGTAGAGTCAGGAAGGACTCTGGGGGGACAGACCAGATGGGGACACCAGCAAGGAATACACCAACAAGTGTTGGACGACATACATACAGATGAGGAGGAGGTGAAGAAACTGCTAAGGGACATCGATACCTCAAAGGCAATGGGACCAGACAACATCTCCCCATGGGTCCTTAGAGAGGGAGCAGATATGTTGTGCGTGCCACTTACCACAATCTTCAACACGTCCCTGGAAACTGGGCAACTACCTGAGGTATGGAAGACGGCAAATGTAGTTCCCATTTTTAAAAAAGGAGACAGAAAAGAGGCACTAAACTATAGACCTGTGTCATTGACGTGTATAGTATGCAAAATTATGGAGAAGATTATCAGGAGGAGAGTGGTGGAGCACCTGGAACGAAACAAGAGTATAAATGCCAACCAGCACGGATTCATGGAAGGCAAATCCTGTGTCACAAACCTTCTGGAGTTTTATGATAAAATAACAGAAGTAAGACACGAGAGAGGGGTGGGTTGATTGCATCTTCTTGAACTGCAAGAAGGCCTTTGACACAGTTCCTCACAAGCGATTAGTGCAGAAGCTAGAGCATCAGGCGCATATAACAGGAAGGGCACTGAAATGGATCAGAGAATACCTGACAGGGAGACAACAACGAGTCATGGTACGTAATGATGTATCACAGTGGGCACCTGTGACGAGCGGGGTCCCACAGGGGTCGGTCCTAGGACCAGTGCTATTTTTGGTATATGTGAACGACATGATGGAAGGGTTAGACTCAGAAGTGTCCCTGGTTGCAGATGATGTGAAGTTAATGAGGAGAATTAAATCTGATGAGGACCAGGCAGGACTTCAAAGAGACCTGGACAGACTGGACACCTGGTCCAGCAAATGGCTTCTCGAATTTAATCCTGCCAAATGCAAAGTCATGAAGATAGGGGAAGGGCACAGAAGACCACAGACCGAGTATAGGCTAGGTGGCCAAAGACTGCAAACCTCACTCAAGGAGAAAGATCTTGGGGTGAGTATAACACCGAGCATGTCTCCGGAAGCACACATCAACCAGATAACTGCTGCAGCATATGGGCGCCTGGCAAACCTGAGAACAGCATTCCGATACCTTAGTAAGGAATCGTTCAAGACACTGTACACCGTGTATGTCAGGCCCATACTGGAGTATGCAGCACCTGTTTGGAACCCGCACTTGATAAAGCACGTCAAGAAACTAGAGAAAGTACAAAGGTTTGCGACAAGGTTAGTTCCAGAGCTAAGGGGAATGTCCTATGAAGAAAGATTAAGGGAAATCGGCCTGACGACACTGGAGGACAGGAGGGTCAGGGGAGACATGATAACGGCATATAAAATACTGCGTGGAATAGACAAGGTGGACAAAGACAGGATGTTCCAGGGAGGGGACACAGAAACAAGAGGCCACAATTGGAAGTTGAAGACACAAATGAGTCAGAGAGATATTAGGCCCGGTGGTCTGGTGGCTAAAACTCCCGCTTCACACACGGAGGGCCCGGGTTCGATTCCCGGCGGGTGGAAACATTTCGACACGTTTCCTTACACCTATTGTCCTGTTCACCTAGCAGCAAATAGGTACCTGGGTGTTAGTCGACTGGTGTGGGTCACATCCTGGGGGACAAGATTAAGGACCCCAATGGAAATAAGTTAGACAGTCCTCGATGACGCACTGACTTTCTTGGGTTATCCTGGGTGGCTAACCCTCCGGGGTTAAAAAATCCGAACGAAATCTCTCTCTCTTCTTCAGTCATAGAGTTGTAAGGCAGTGGAATAGCCTAGAAAATGACGTAGTGGAGGCAGGAACCATACACAGTTTTAAGACGAGGTTTGATAAAGCTCATGGAGCGGGGAGAGAGAGGGCCCAGTAGCAACCGGTGAAGAGGCGGGGCCAGGAGCTAAGACTCGACCCCTACAACCACAAATAGGTGAGTACAAATAGGTGAGTACACACACACACACAATGCAATGCGTAGATTTAATCTAATACAATCTACTAAAGTCATCGTGATTTATTTCTTTTTTTATTTTTAATATTAATTCTTTCATTAATTAACTGCCTGTCTAAGACACCTGATATATATACGAGTATCATATCGCCCTCAATTTCTTGTTCAAGTAGGTTTTTATATAGTATCATTACACAAGTTTACAGTTGTCTTATAGGTAACGGTCTGTAAATTAACCATTAAAAATAATTACTGAAACTGCAACTATATAAGATGCCAATATATAAATGTGTGTTAAAGGGTTCAATAAGAGTTTCTCTCCGGCTCTTGCATAGGAAAAAGTGTCACCATCGATGATCAGCCAGACGTGGCATAAACAATTATGCATTCGAGTCTCATTCACATATATATTTAAATATAAATAATCTTATTAGAGTTTACTAAGCCAAGAAATGTTCATACAATAATTTTCATATAAGCATTTGTGTTTGTGATTTTTTATATGGGTCACATGCATAATTTTAAATTATTACAATGGATTTATATAGTATCATGTTCAAATTAATAAATAAATAAATAAATAAATTTTAACCAAGATAACCCAATAAATAATGTGACTTAATTCCAGTAGGGGAAGCGTGTTATATGGTTATATAGTTTTATTTTTACGTAAGTATTTTTGTATCATTTGTGATATTAATAACTCAGTCAATACAAAAATGAACAAATCCAATCAAAAAGATCGACACCATGCCCAGCCTTTCTAGGGTAGGGTAGGTGCCTGAACCCGAGCCTTTAGCTCATAAGACTGTCATTCCCATTTGCCCCCTTGGGGCGGGGATGGCAGACCAGAGAGGCCTAGCTTGAGGCTAGGCCTGGGGACAGTTGGTCCCAAAGATGAGGAGGTCCTTGCCCCTCCTCCCATGGGAGACTTAGGTCTCAGACACTCCCTAAAGAGGGAGCCAAGGCCGGGCCACTACTTGGAAAAGGCCCGGGCCGGGAGAATACCGGCTAATCTTTAATAATAATAATCAAAAAGATCGACACCATGCCCAGCCTTTCTAGGGTAGGGTCCCCTCAAGGAAGGTTCCTTGATGTTGGTGAGGGGCTCTTGATTTAGGGAATTGGATCTGTGCTCCAGTTCCCCGAATTAAGCCTGAATGCCTTCTACATCCCCCCACCCAGACGCTGTATAATCCTCCGGGTTTAGCGCTTCCCCTTGATTATAATAATAATAATCTAGGGTAGGGTAGGTGCCTGAACCCGAGCCTTTAGCTCATAAGACTGTCATTCCCATTTGCCCCCTTGGGGCGGGGATGGCAGACCAGAGAGGCCTAGCTTGTGGCTAAGCCTGGGGACAGTTGGTCCCAAAGATGAGGAGGTACTTGTGCCTCCTCCCATGGGAGACTTAGGTCTCAGACACTCCCTAAAGAGGGAGCCAAGGCCGGGCCACCACTTGGAAAAGGCCCGGGCCGGGAGAATACCGGCGAATCTTTAATAATAATAAAATAATCAAAAACCAATTACAAGTCTTTCATAATAATAATTTTATTTTAATTATACCCGGTACATAACTATAGTACAAAGAAACCACCTGATCTAATTGGGAAGTTTTTGTTCCCTTCCCAGTTTCGGCCCAGTTTCAGACACTTCTTTTCCCAGAAATTTTTGAAGCGGAGCTTGATGTGGCCTAAGCTATGCCGAGCCTATAAATCCTCAGCGATTAAAAATGTTTAAGGACGTCTGCGTCGGCGATTGTAAAGTACAGACGTGCTGACATGGGCAGTGATAAAGATAAGACAGTCATAGCATGAATGAACCAGTTCAAGAGGTACCTAATGAATATAGGGACAGTTAGTTAGTTTAATATGTTTATTATGCACCTCATACCCATCCTGTGGGCGGTAGTCAAAAGATTACAGAGGTACGTAATGGGTCCAGGGACAAGGCCCCCAAAGTTTTGATAGCTGAACTAGGTACAAGGGTAATGAACTCACAAGTTACAAAGTTAATGAATCCTGTAAGAATGGTTACTTACATTTATACATGGGTACAATCATGAACAAATTATAGAGTAATGAGCAATTCACACTTCCACATCCGGTCACAACTGTAATGAGTTATCGGTGCAAATATTGTACAGGAAGACATAAACAGAGTTTTCCAGTGGGCAGTGAACAACATGACGTTCAATGGTGATAAGTTCCAGCTGCTTAGGTATGGAAAGAATGAAAAACTCAAAATGAGCACTATATACAAAACACAAGAGGGTCACCAAATAGAACGTAAGGAACACGTAAAAGACCTGGGAATAATTATGTCAGCGGACCTTTCTTTTAAAGACCATAACAAGACAAAGATCACGACAGCCAGGAAGATGACGGGTGGGTATTGAGAACTTTCAAAACGAGGGAAATAATGTCAATGGTGACACTCTTCAAATCGCTAGTGCTCCCTCACTTAGAATATTGTTCAGTGCTGACGGCCCCGTTCAGGGCAGGAGAAATATCGGAGCTGGAACAAATACAGAGATCGTTTACGGCTCACATTGAGCCTGTAAAGCACCTAAACTAGGAACGCCTGCAAGTCTTGAACATGTATTCACTGGAACAGAGGAGAGAGAGATACGTGATAATATATACCTGGAAAATACTCGAGGGCTTGGTCCCAAATCTGCACACTGCCAAAACAACATACTAGAGTGAGAGCTATGGAAGGAAGTGTAAAATAAACCCAGTGAGGAGCAGGGGTGCGGTGGGAACAATAAGGGAACACTGTATCAACATCCGGGGTCCCAGACTATTCAACATCTTACCAGAAGATATCAGAAACATGACTGGAGCAAGTGTAGAAGCCTTCAAGAGGAAACTGGACAAGTATCTTCACCAGGTGCTAGATCAACCAGGCTGTGATGGATGTGGGGCAGCGGGCCTCCAGCAGCAACAGCCTGGTAGACCAGGCAAACACCAGACGAGCCTGGCCCATGGCCGGGCTCAGAGAGTAGATTAACTCTCGAAATTCTTCAAAGGTATATCAAAGGTACCAGCATTCTGGCAAGATTATTATTATAATCACAGGGAAGCGCTAAACCTGTAGGATTATACAGCGCATGTGTGGGGGATGGAAGGTATTCAGGATGAATTCAGGGAACCGGAGCACAGATCCAATCCCCTAGATCAAGAGCCCCTCACCAGCCTGAATCCTCTTAAGGGGAGTCAGGCAAGAGAAAGTTTCGTCGAACATAGAGAATTTTTTGTTCTTGTTTCTCTTTACAGAAGAAACCTTATTTTGTATATATAATTCCCGCCTAGATATGTCCAACGTAGGTTTCCCGGGACTGAGTTTAATATCTTTATTATGTACCCCATACTCATCCTGTGGGTGGTAGTCACCACATTCCCATCCTGTGGGCGGTAGTCACCACATACTCATCCTGTGGGCGGTAGTCACCACATACCCATCTTGTGGGCGGTAGTCACCATATACCCATCCTGTGGGCGGTAGTCACCACATACCCATCTTGTGGGCGGTAGTCACCACATACCCATCCTGTGGGCGGTAGTCACCACATACCCATCTTGTGGGCGGTAGTCCCCCACATACTACCCTGTGGGAGGTAGTCACCACATACCCATCCTGTGGGCGGTAGTCACCACATACTCATCCTGTGGGCGGTAGTCACCACATACCCATCCTGCGGGCAGTAGTCACCACATACCCATCCAGTGAGCGGTAGTCAAAGAATTGCAGAGGTGCATAGTGGGTCCAGGGACCACAATGGAAATAGGTGGCTCTGACTTATTTCTCTACACATAAGATAAGATTTCGTTCGGATTTTTAACCCCGGAGGGTTAGCTACCCAGGATAACCCAAGAAAGTCAGTGCGTCTTCGAGGACTGTAACTTATTTCCATTGTGGTCCTCAATCTTGTCCCCCGGGATGCAACCCACACCAGTCGACTAACACCCAGGTACCTACTTGCTGCTAGGTGAACAGGACAATAAGTGTAAGGAAATGCGTCGAAATGTTTCTACCCCGCTGGGAATGAACCCGGGCCTTCCGTGTGTGAAGCGAGAGTTTTGCCAGTCAGGCCTCGGGATCACCATATGCTGCTATGTATGATAATCTTTGTAACTGTATGTATAACTGAATAAACTTACTTACAGGGACTGGTAATAAACTCCAGGTAATGAACTCCAGATAATGAACTCCAGGTAATGAACTCCAGGTAATGAACTCCAGGTAATGAATTCCAGGTAATGAACTCCAGATAGTGAACTCCAGGTAATGAACTCCAGATAATAAACTCCAGGTAATGAATTCCAGGTAATGAACTCCAGATAATGAACTCCAGGTAATGAACTCCAGGTAATGAACTCCAGGTAATGAACTCAGGTTTCATACTCAATGAGGCATAAGTTTCACTGGCCCTTAACAACCCCAACAACAACAAGTGTGTTGATGGTCTGTCCTTATGAACAGAAATTTAAGACTATTAGTAAAATTATCAACTCCTCGGCTCATCCTGCTGGTGTTAACCGCAACCATCATGAGTACTAAGAGATCAAGTGATAGTGACTGCGGTGGTGTCAAAGTTAAGAGGAAACTTAATACTTCAGACACGAAAGTTGATATTTTACGACGGGCAAATGACAGTGATAAAGCAGGTGATGTCGCCAGAAATACTGAAATATCGAAATCAACAGTATACTCCACAATCAAAAAATATCAGCAATCGGCACAAAGTGAGGAGTGTAAAAATCCTGTCCCAGATGCTCGTATTAAACGGCTGAATAACATGGAAAAGCTTCTCAATGCTTGGGTGAAACATGAAACACAAAAACACACACCTCTTAGCATGGGAGTTATTCAGGAAAAGGCCAGGAGTATTTTTGAGGATTTAAAACAAAGGGAAGGTGAAGGTTCTGAGGAGATAAATTTCAATGTTATAAAGTGGTGTTTTGAATGGTATAAGAGATATACAGACTTGCATGGCAATATATTGACTAACAAGGCAGCAAGTACTGATACCGATGCACTGGCTACTGCCATATATCAGCAGATGTTGAAGCAGATCATAAAAGATAATGACTACACACCTCAGCAAGTCTTCAATGCTGATGAAACTGGACTCTACTGGAAGCGGATGCCATCAAAAACCTCAATATCCAGAAATGAAAATAGGACCAGAGGATTCAGGGCAAGCAAGGATCGAATGTCACTCCTCCTGGGAGGCAATGCCGCTGGGGACTTCAAGTTAAAACCTCTATTAGTCTACCACACTGAAACACCAAGTGCTATGAAGAACTACTTCAAAACCAATCTCCCTGTTACTTGGCATGCTAACAAGAAAGCATGGGTAACATCAAGTATTTTTAAAGATTGGTTTTCCACCTATTTTTGTCCAGCTGTTGAAAAATACTGTGCTGACAACAACCTTGCTCATAAGGCACTGCTGCTGCTTGATAATGCTACTCGCCATCCCATTACATTGAATGATTTTAACCCTCATGTTAGGGTTGTGTTCCTTCCTAAGAACAAGATATCTTTGATTCAACCAATGGATCAAGGTATTATAACAACATTTAAGGCATACTATGTACGGAATACCTTTTCCAAACTCATCAAATACACCAGTGGAGAAAATAAGCCAACAGTAAACGAGTTCTGGAGAACATTTAATATCATGGATGCAATTTCAAATATTGATAAATCCTGGAAAGATCTTACAGTTGCCACAATGAATATTGGATGGAAACAACTGTGGCCTGAATGTGTGAATGACTTCCATGATTTTCAAGAGGCACTTCCAGACATATGCAGGGATATCGTGACACTTGCTAGGCGTGCTGGATTTGATGAGGTTGACGATGATGATGTGACAGAGTTACTGGAATCTCATGGAGAGACCCTCACCAAAGAGGAATTGGTGCAACTAGAAGATGAGAAATCCAGGTTAGGAGAAGATGAGGAGGATGACATGCCTGAAAGCTCCATATTGACTCTGGGGAACATGTCGAAATTTTTTAATTTGTTTGAAGAAGGATTAGAACTGGTGAGGAAATCAGACCCATGCAAAGATCGCAGCTTAGCCTTCAGTATGGCAGTTAACAATGCACTGCAGTGCTACAAGACACTGTATGTAGAGAAACAGAGTCGAGCAAAACAGCCTTCACTTGATGCACATTTTAGGAGCATCAGTCCCTCTACATCCCCAAACAAGACAGTTGAAAAAAAGATGGCTGAGACCACAGCCTCAAAGAAGACACCTCCTATAGCTATCATACAGCCATATCGAAGGCAGCCATACAGTAGAATGAGGTACTCTCCAACTCAGTTCCACAGAGTCAGCCGCTCTCGAAGTTGGTCTCGCAGCATCAGCCGCTCTCGAAGTCGATCCCGTAGCATCAACCATTTTCAGAGTCGGTCCCGTAGCATTAGCCGCTCTCGAAGTCGGTCCCGTAGCATCAGCCACTCTCGAAGTCGGTCTCACAGTAGCAGCCGTTCTCGAAGTCAGTCCTGCAACATCAGCCTCTTTCGAAGTCAGTCTCGCAGCATCAGCCGCTCTCGAAGTCGGTCCCATAGCATCAACCACTCTCCAAGTCAGTCACATAGTATTAGCCACTCTCCAAGTCAGTCCCATAGCATTAGCCACTCTCCAAGTCGATCCCGCAGCATCAGCCGTTCCCCAAGTCGGTCCCGTAGCATTAGCCGCTCTCCAAGTCAGTCCTGCAGCAGCAGCCACTCTCAAAGTCAGTCCCGCAGCAGCAGTCGCTCTCCAAGTCGGTCCTCCAGCATAAGCCGCTCTCCAAGTTCATCTAGAAGCATCTGTCCCTCTCGACGCCTGTCCCGCAGTATCACTCCCACTCGACACCTGTCCCGCAGCATCAGCCCTGCGCGACGCGTGTCTCACAGTACCAGCCGTTCTCGACACCTATCCCCCGGCATTAGTACCCCTATTAAATGGTCATTCTAAAGCAACAACTGCTCTCCAAACTGAATACAGGTGTTTCCAGCATCATATATACAGCTGTTCAGATGAGAAGGTACATGATCATTCTTCCTCTCATTAATTCTCCACAAATAGCTAGCTTCATCTGACCAGAGGGCAACAATGATTCTGAAATGTGTCAAGTGGTCCTGTCACCCTCCTAAATTAAAGACTTATTATAATTATAATTGTGTTGGTACAAATTTGCCAATTTTCTAATGGTTAAGCAGATTAGGATTATTGACTTCCATTTCATAGCTAAAAAATGCCTTATCTGATAGACTTCAATTTCAGTACCGGTGTAGTTTGCTCAAAGGTAAGTTTGTATTGTTATTGGCCTATAAATATTAATTTACCTAATTTATTAAAGAAATTGAGATACTGGTTTGTGTGATAAATCGAGAATGTCTCATGTGAGTGGCTTCAAACTTTCAATGCTTTTTTTTTTTTTTATTTAGGGGATGGGTGGGATTTCATTTAGGATGTGTAGGTGCTAATTTACCAATTTTATTGAAGAAATTTGGGAAATGTTGTACGGTATTTGTTTCCATGCAATAACTTTTGGATGCCTCTTATGATTGAACCCTTCAGTGTTGCTGCATCTTGTAAAGGGAGGTCTAGATTGGTTTTGAACTGTGTGGGTGCCTATTTTATTTCAGTCTTATCTCCCTTGCCTCAGCTGTAGATACTTAGTCTGTGCCAGGAGAACTTCTGCCAGTTTCTTTAAAAATGAATATATAAGAAATTTCTTACAATATTAGAGAATTTTAAACAGAATATGACTATAAAACTGAAAAAAAAATTTATGAAATTCCATCTTTGTATGGTACTTTATGGTACTTAATTTATAATAAATTTATAATAATTTATAAAAATGTATTTATTCTATATTCCTAATAATTATAATTATTTGTTCTTGTTTTATTGTTGTACTTATAAATTTTCAGTGTACAGTATTTATAAAAAAAATAATTTTATATTTGATGTGTTTCAGGGTCTGTTAGCTCTTGATCAAATCAAGCATCATCGCCTAGCTGACGCTGTTATCATAAACAGCCCAATGTTCCCACCAAGTATCACACAAGATTCCTGCCTTAAACTATTAAAGATGATCCACTTCTTAACATTGAGAATAGTGTTATCAAAGGAGTATTCATATTAGGTAAACCAGGAGTTAAATGTCCACTCTTGCTCAGATTTCATAACTTCATGACAAAAAAAAAAAGACCTCATTCAGTCTTCCATAATTCAGAAAAAATTATCTCTGTGAATGAGTGCTTAAAAAAAAAAGTGAAGAAAATGAGTGCCTCACAAAGAGGTGAAAAATCTTTTATTCAAGTTAAGGAAAATATATCAGACCAACATTAATAAAATTAGACAGTGTTTGTATGAAATGAATAAATTGTGGCTAGAAAAACAACCACAGGTAAAAGATATGAAATATCCAGTGAATAGGATCGACTCAAGTTCCTCCATTATTCTGGATTAATTGAGACAGAATAAACTGAGAGCATAATACTCAAAGTTCCAGTTGTTGTGATATATACAGGTTAAGTATCCACTGTCCAAAATCCGAAACTTTTTCGAGCACTGACATGACACCAGAAATGGAAAATTTCAGTCAGCTCTGGGGAGGTTCTCAGGCATTGTTCAGGTCCCTGCATACCAAGACAGTTGCAACATGTGACCTCGCATACCCTGGCTGGGGCTCTGATGCTCTGTTGGCATCAGTTTATTATCAGCATTCATCACCAGACCTACGTGCATTTCTCACTGCAATTACAGTGCGTTTTGTGCTTATTCTCTCCTCTGTGGTGTGAAGATATTGTTGAAAATGTCAAATGTCAGCTGTTTTTTAACATCTGATGCAGGTATTCTGTCGATGCTGTTGTACTGCTTTTGTTATTAAAAATATTATTTTTGCTATTAAAAATATTGTATAAAACTACCTAGCTATCTCATTATATTCAAAAATCCGGGACATTTCCATCTCCAAGCATTTTGGATAAGGGATATTTAACCTGTACCTTCCTGCTAGTAATTAACTAGCCAAGTAATTTTCTTTGCTTGACTGCCTTAATATTACCTCTTGTACAATGCTCAGTTCTGTTGCTACTATATTTTTTATCTACCATAATGGTCTTACTGTAAAATTTTATCCTTTTTTGAAAATCTTTGTGTTACATACTGCATATTGTAATACAGTGGACCCTTGACTAATGATATTAATTGGTACCCGAGAACGAATATCGTTAGTCGAGCTTTTTTAGCGTTAGCCGAGGCAAAATGTTAGCATTAACCTGTATTGTTAGTCAGAGTTAGCATTAGACGATGCCATCGTTGGTCGAGGGTCCACTGTACTTTATTTTCTTAGGCTTAATTTGCTAAGAAGCTATAATTGCTTCTCTCAATTTCAGTCTCATTAAAATTATCACTTACCAGTATTATATTTTACAAGTACACACACGTACAGTAGTATTTTAATATTTTATATACGTACACTGTTATTTTCTTGTATCTCCCTATTGTTATGTTACAATTAAATTGCATTAGACTTCTTTGCTAAGGAAGCCCTCAGTGTCCTTCAGTGTATCAACCACATTAATGAAACCATTTACCACTTGTCCATAATTTTTCCACACTAACCTTGACAGAAGATTAATATTCTTGTTATTGCTCAAGTAATTTAAGGAGGGAGAGGGATTTTTTTTTTTTTTTTTTTTGTTTTCAACCGATTTATTTTATTTTTGGTGTACTTTTAGAGGTGCATATATAGTTTAATGTGACAAAGTTTCAGTATGATTGGCCAACAAACAACATAGAAAAAAAATATTAACATAATTTTGATATATGGCAGCATCCCCTGACAAATTGGCACTACGAGTGGCACTTCCGACATTCCCAACTGTTAGAATACAACTAGCACGAGTCTTTTACGTTGCCATTTCATCTAATATATCTTATTATCATGGTAAAAAAAAATACATTTGACAGAATTTTTGGCATTCACCAAAATATCTGCCTTTTACCCCCCACAAAATCAAAAATATTTGAGATATTCCAAAAAATCCACCGTTAAAAATTAAAACACACTTTGTTTTATATTGTCTGTGAAAATCATTTCAATACAATCATTAATAATGGTTCAGGTCCGCGAAATAAGTGAATAAGTTACTTCCGAGACATAGGCCTAGAACGCCGGTAGGCCTACCGTCAAAAAAAAAATTTTCTTTTTTCGCGAAAATCGCGTTTGTTTCGGTGTATTTCTTAGTAAACTGATGTTCTAGTGCAGTTATCCTCTTCAAAACATCGTTTTCTCTCACTCACAGACCAAACAATACAACATGGAGACGAGGAGTAACTTTTTTATATCGAAATATTGCTGGTGGACTCTCGCTATATTATGGCCTATTTTATTCAGTATAGAGTATATAACATGTTTGTTTGTTATTTACAGTGATTATTATATCATATTAGATCAATTCTGATAGATAAATAAGCCGTATAGTTAATATATAAGCTGATATAAGCGTAATAATGAAATGATTTCACCTGGCACTCTCTGGAGAGGGATCACTGCCGAGTGTACCCAGGTGCTTCCCGATAGACTAGACGTCTATTGATAAGCTCCACCTACTCTTATTTTGATGCCAAATAATCAATTATTATATTAGAAAGAATAATGCAAAGAAAAAGCGATAAAAAACAAGGAAAAAATTCCAAAAAATACATAGGTTGAGAACAGACGCGCTACCTACATCGCCGCCACCATACCTGATATAAATGACTATAATTTCTTGTAGAAACGTTGTAGAACATTGATTCTTGTACCATTGTGTTGCCAAAGAGTTAAGCTATTTTTCTATATGAATAACTCATTTTCATAAATTTTCGAATTTTTCTTGAGAGCGCTGAAAAAAATCCCTCACTCCCCCCTTAAGAATGTCACCCTTTGGACATAGCATTCGCTCGTATTTTTTCTTGTGATACATGGTACACCATTGTTACATTCTTGTGTCTCCCTCTTGTTTTCTTAATATTAGGTTTTGCACACCTTTTCTGTTAATATTTATGATTATTGACCTTTAACTGAACCTTTTAAAGAAAATGACAAAGGGACATTCCTAGATTTAATTATGAACAACAAACTGAAATAGTATAATGCACACATCCAAGATGTATCACCAAAAATATCAAAGACTGTGGGGATACGTTCTAAAATTCTGCATTATGTTCCACAGTCCTACCAACTAATACTATACTTTACTTTTCCTCATTTGCTTATACCTAACTTTGGATTAGTGCTTGAGGATCCACCTTGGCAGCCTACCTTAAGTCAGTCATTGCCTAACAAAAGGCAGTTCTCAGAACCCTTATTTAAGTCTTTAATTCCACTAAATATATATGGCATTCATACATACCACTGTTTACTCCACAGTGCTGGACAGGCACCTGAAGTCAGTACCTGACCAGCTGGGCTGTAGCTCGTACGTCAGTTTATGTGTGGCCAGCAGTAACAGCCTGGTTGATCAGGCCCTGATCCACAACGAAGCCTGGTCACAGACCGGGTTGCAGGGGTGTTGACCCCCAAAACCCCCTCTAGGTATACATCTTTAGAATACTACAATTATGATGATAATCCAAGACATTTCTTAGAAAATTGTAATAGAACACACAAACATCACACTAAAAGCAAATACTTCCTTACTCCCTCATGTTTATTTAAACACCTTAAAAAATTCAATGGAAATTAAGGATCCAAAAATGTGAAATACCTTTCCAGGTGAATTAAAAAATTGTAACAATGAATTCAAACAAAAACTTCAAAAAACTCTGAGCTTAATGTATATTTCCATTATAATGTATATACTTGTACATCCATGTTATAAATTACACTTAATTTATGGTAACTGTATCTCCAACCATTATTACATTAATACCTATACATTGGAACCTCGGTTTTCATCATTAATCCATTCAAAAAAATCTGACGAAAACCCGAATCGTATGAAAACAACTGAAGCAATATTTCCCATAAGAAATACTGTAAATCCAATTAATCTGTTCCAGACACCCAAAAATATTAACAAAATATATTTTAGAGAGAATAACTATAGTTTTACAAACAAACTAGGGCATACAAAAACCAAGGTTCCACTGTATATTTGCTTCTTAATTCTCTTGAAGTTAAGTTCCATTTGAACATTAAATCTTAACTGAATGTGTCATTAAATGCTCAATTTTCACTAAGATTTGTACTACGGTATGTAATTTTGTATATAGTATTCAATATATTTTTTATTTTTATACTGTTAGTATACTCCTAGCTTTAGATGGCCTAAAATTTTGGGCATAAATGTGAGGTTTTCCTTTAGTATATTTACTGTTAATCTGTTGTTATAACCCAAATGTATCTACTGACTATACTTGCAAGTACTATGTAGCAAACACTGGTGAAAGTAACCGAAGCACAGTAAAAGTAATTATTCAAGTATCTTCAGTTATGATAGTGTCCCTAAGTAAACATCATAATGATGTTATAGCATTGCTTGAATCACTGAATACCCAAATTTTCTTTATTATATTAACAAAGACCTGGTTAAAACATGACTTCATTAGTACTTCAACATACCTGGGTATGTTCTACAGCTGTCTAACACTGTAGAACAAACAAGAAAACTGACAGGACTGCTGATTTTCTATGCTAATGAGTTCAATTTTATGAATATTGTGAATACCAGTGGTAAATATGGTGGATATATTTGCTCATTTCACCACAAACAATACTGTACTAATAATTTTATAATAATTGGAGTGACTTACAGAATCCATCACATTATTGTGTTAAGCTTCAGTGACAACCTGAGAAACATGATAATACACAACAAACTCAATAAAACACATTTAATAATTGCTGGAAATTTCAACATTAATCATTATCAACTAAATAACCCCAAGTATTAAGCTTCCTTAATACAGTAGTATGGGCATATTGTTACCCTTAGTCAACAAATGCACCAGAATCACAGAGACATCAACCTCAGTTCTACATCTCTAAATTCAGGTATAATTACAGATAGAAAAACTAATCATTACTCTAATTTTCTTATCATTAACATTTTAAAATCTCACTTGAAACCCAAAAAATTATTTTCCATAATACAGCTTCAGTTAACAAATTTATCTATGTCACTAAACACACATGTTGGGAAAGTGTGTGTATTCTGAACTGTATAAATTCTGGAATAGAGAGCTTCAACATTACAAAACTTTGCTACATTGTACACTGCCCAAAATATCCCAACCAACTGCTTCAGAAGGTTAAACAACCAAAGGTTCAAAGACTTGCTGAGATTAGTTGATAAAAAACATGATAATGAAAATAATTATAAACTAGGCCTTCTGTCCCAGGAAATAGAAAAACAGTAGTACGTACTCTGCATCCCACACAAGAATGCTTAACCCGTAAATGGTCCAAACGTATATACATGTATACGTTTTTACCGCTAGTCCCCCAAACGTATATACAGTGGACCCTAGACTAACGATATTAATTGGTACCCGAGAACGAATATCATTAGTCGAGTTTTTTTTATCGTTAGTAGAGGCAACATGTTAGCGTTAACATGTATCATTAGTCGAATTTAACGTTAGACAATGCCATCGTTGGTCGAGGGTCCACTGTATACGTTTTATTTTTCCTGCCTTCAATTTGGCACGATTGGCCTGAGATGCCTTGTCAGCATAGAATGGGTCCTGACACTCAGTGTGCACGGTATTAAAAAAAATCTGGGACCACTTAGTACCTTGTGGGAGCACCAGTTCAAATGAGCACCAGCTAGAGCAAACAGCATAGCAAACACCTGGGATTCACTGATGTCATGTAGTATTAACACTCCCATTTTAAGAGGAAAGTGATTTTGACCCTGAGTTTAGTGGCTTTGAGGTGGAGTGGTCGAGGAAATATCAAAAAACCTCGATAATAACCCATGTGCAATATTTGTGCAACACCCTTTCAAAATGTCTTATAACCTATGCCCTAAGTCAAGAGAAATAATTCTGGCTGGCTGGCAGGCTGGCTGGTTGGCAGGCTGGCTGATTTAGTGCTTAGTTTTGATTATTACATATAATAATTTCCCTTGAATTGAATCTGATTGCCTTCCATTTCCCATGCATTGTATAACCCCTATGGGTTTAATGTTTCTTTGAATAATAATAATAACCTTTCCTCTCTACTACTGATAGCATAAATAAGCTTAAAAATTTCTTCACTACAGTAGGAACTAATTTTACAAACATACCAGAGGCCCATACTAACATCAGTAAATATCTCATTGATATTTCCCCAAACTTGTACGTGGTTCCTTTGTCAGTGACAGCTTTACTACACTGACTTTGATTTTACTTTCCCTTTAGCACTCTTACCGCCCTTACTGATTCTACCTCAGCCATACTCTTCACCTTCGCTAGTCTCTGTCCTGGCATAGTACATCTTTAGCACATCCCACCCTGCAGTGCTGTATGACCCTGGTGGGTTTAGTGCTTGGTGTTGATTGTTCTTGGTTTCTAATACAACTTATGAAACAGCATCAATCATTAAACCCATAAAAGATTCAGCTAGTAGCACAGAAGAGGTACCCACCATTATATACAAGAAAGCAACACAAACATTATCTCCATGTACTATATCATTATTACTTTTCAACCAATCACTTACAGAACATCCCTTTTCAGTCTTAAAAAAAAAAATGCCACTATAATGTCCAATACTAACTCTTCAGCTGTTGCAAAATGTCCATTCAGTGAAAATTAATTATTCAGTTTAAAATTTGACAAATCTGATATATAGTGAAGTATTTAATGATTTAAATTAGAATGAGATGGATATCTGAAATCTTGTTCTACTATCTGTAGAGAATGAAGTGCATCTATTCAGTCCTTTCAAGGTAGGTTCACTGATGACAGGGGGAGCTCTTGATCCAAGGAAATGGACTTGTTCTCCCCTTGGATCAAGCTTGATTGCCTCCCATTCCAAAGTACTGCATGACCCTACTAGTTTAGTGCCTTCTCCCCTCAAGGAAGGTTCTTTGATGTTGGTGAGGAGCTCTTGATCTAGGGAATTGGATCTGTGCTCCAGTTCCCTGAATTAAGCCTGAATACCTTCCACATTCCCCCTCCACAGGTGCTGTATAATCCTATGGGTTTAGTGCTCCCCATTGATTATAATAATAATAATTAGTGCCTTCTCCTAAATGTAATATCTATACAATACTTTTCAACAAACCACTTGAAGAACACACTTTTCCAGGTTATCTCAGAAGAGCCAGGATAACACCCAAAATATCCACAGAATGCAAAAATGGAGCTGACAAATGGTGCCCCGGCTGATGATTAATGTATGTAGTTAGTCATACCACTTGAGCAGCTAATTTATTGTGCACTGTAAGTGATAGCACAAAAAATTAGGATTACAGAGGTCACACTGGGTCTTCATCACACCCCACCTAGCATAGTTACATCACAAAAAATACATTAGTCATTTAATACAATAGGAAAAAATTTGTCGCTGATACTTAGGCGAGAGCAAGAAATATAACCCCATCGAGGTCTACGCAGACGTTTGTGGGGTTTTTTTTTCACCAAGGAAGCTCTTCACTGATACTGGATTCTGTAGGTTTTAATTTACTAATTTTAATAAGCACATTGGTTTTCATGCAATAATAGGATAATGCCTTTCATTGGCTTCAAACCTTAACACTGGTGTCTATTACTAAGAGAAAAGTTTGGGCTGAATCTTATCAATTTTAATGAAACAGAAAATTTAAATGCAGGTTTCAAGTGATAATCTGGGAATGCCTTATTCAACTGGGCTTAACTGTCGATGTCCATAACTTCACAATGCAACTTCTGAGCAGCTTCAAACTTTTGATTGCTGGTGTATTTTGGGATATTAGTGTCCCTTCAAGAACTAGAGAATGACTTTTTGACTGGCTTAAACTTTCAAAGCTGGTGTTTCTTAACAGAAATACAGTGGACCCCCGGTTAACGATTTTAATCCGTGCAAGAGGGCTCATCGTTATGCGAAATAATCGTTATGCGAATTAATTTTCCCCATAAGAAATAATGGAAATAAAATTAATCCGTGCAAGACGCCCAAAAGTATGAAAAAAATTTTTTTTTACCACATGAAATGTTAATTTTAATACACACAAACTGAAAAAGGCATGCACAATTACATGACACTTACTTTTATTGAAGATCTGGTGATGATTGATGGGATGGGAGGAGGGGAGAGCATTATCTTCTTACTGTTTAGAAGGGGAATCCCCTTCCATTAGGACTTGAGGTAGCAAGTCCTTTTCTGGGGTTACTTCCCTTCTTCTTTTAATGCCACTAGGACCAGCTTCAGAGTCACTGGACCTCTGTCGCACAACAAATCTGTCCATAGAGCTCTGTACCTCCCGTTTCTTCAAGACTTTCCTAAAATGGGCCATAACATTGTCATTGAAATAGTCACAAGCACGGCTTGCAACAGCTGTGTCAGGGTGATTTTCATCTATAAAGGTTTGCAGTTCAAACCACTCTGCACACATTTCCTTAATCTTTGAAGTAGGCACAATGGATTCCACAACTGGCATAGGCTTCTCAGGGTTAGCCCCAAACCCTTCAAAATCTTTCTTAATTTCCATACTAATTCTCACCCTTTTTACCACAGGGTTGGCACTAGAAGCTTTCTTGGGGCCCATGGTCACTTATTTTCCAGAAACACCACCGAAAACACTGTAATAATACGAAATATTCCGAGTGTATGCTTGGATGTTACCGCGGAGGCTGGCTGGTAAACAATGGGACGGCCGGCACATGTGAGGGCACATTGGACGCGTCTCGGACGAAAATCGGTATGCGGGTTTTTAATCGGTATGCGGGGCAAAAATTTTGCGATAAAAGTAATCGTTATGCGGAAAAATCGCTATGCGATGCCATCGTTATGCGGGGGTCCACTGTATTGATTTCTGGCTATGTAGTACAAATTTGATATTTTTATAGTACTATATGACCCCAGTGGTTTAGCACTTAGTTTTGATTATAATAATAATAATACAGTGGACCCCCGGTTATTGGCCGGTTCCATTATCTGCCAACTCGGTTATTGGCCGTTTTTTCAGAGCCTGGTTATTGGCCATTAATTCGGTTATCAGCCATTTGAGACGCGTCCATCCGCTAGCTGGGGCCGCTTGCACATCAGTTTGGCTTTGTCTCTCGGTGGCTGAGGAAGCTTCTGCTCATACATCCAAACATTTTGCTTATTTTCCATTGTTTTTAGTGGTTTCTTTTTGCAGTGCAACTGTGAAATAAGTAACCATGGCTCCAAAGAAAGTTCCTGTGGTAAAGAAAGTGAGAAATACACCATGGAATTTAAGCGTGAAGTGATAGAAAAGTTTGAAAGTGGTATGAAGGTGGTGGAACTTGTCAGGATGTACAACAAGAATAAATCAACAATTACATCCATCCTGGCAAAGAAAGAACAAATCAAAGATGCTAATATTGCAAAAGGAGTAACTTGTCTAACTAAACAAAGGCCACCAATAATGGAAGAGATGGAAAAGTTATTATTATTGCAGATTAAGGAATAACAATTAGTGGGAGACAGTGTTGTGGAGTCTATTGTTTGTGAGAAGGCAAGGCAGTTGCATGAGGATCTTGCAAAGAAAATGCCTGGAACAAGTGCTGCAGTTTGTGAATTTAGGGCCAGCAAAGGATGGTTTGATAGATTTAAGAAGCATAGTGGCATACAAGTGTTGCATAGCATGGTGAGGCTGCAAGTCCTGACAAATGTGCGGCTGAAAAATATGCTCACGAATTCCAGGACTATGTAAAGGCTGAAGGATTCGAACCCCAACAAGTGTTCAATTGTGACAAAACATCCCTGTTTTGGAAGAAAATGCCAAACAGGACCTACATTACCCAAGAGGAAAAGGCACTGCCAGGACACAAGCCTATGAAAGACAGGCTTACTCTTTTGTTGTGTGGTAATGCTAGTGGGTATTTCAAAGTGAAGCCTTTACTTGTGTATCACTCAGAAAATCCCAAAGTGTTCAAGAAAAACAATGTCATGAAGAATAGATTGTGTGTGATGTGGAAAGCTAATCATAAGGCATGGATCACAAGGCAAATTTTCAAAGAGTGGGTTAATGATGTGTTTGGCCCAAGTGTGAAAACATACCTCTTGGAAAAGAAATTGCCACTCAAGTGCCTCCTGTTACTGGACAATGCTCCTGCACATCCTCCAGACTTGGAAGACCAAGTGTTTAGGGACTTCAATTTTATAAAAGTGAAGTTCTTGCCTCCTAACACCACTCCTCTCCTCCAGCCCATGGACCAGCAGGTCATTTCTAACTTCAAAAAACTCTACACAAAAGCAGTGTTTCAAAAGTGCTTTGAAGTGACGTCGGACACTCGGTTGACCCTAAGACAGTTCTGGAGGAATCACTTCACTATCCTCCACTGCATAAGCCTTATAGGTAAGACTTGGGAGGGAGTGACTTCCAGGTCTTTGAACTCTGCTTGGAGAAAACTGTGGCCAGATTGTGTCCAAGAGAGGGATTTTGAAGGGTTTGAGGCTGACCCTGACCCTGTGACCCTGTGGACTCTATTGTGGCACTGGGGAAGTCCCTGGGGTTGGAGGTGAATGGCAAGGATGTGGAAGAGTTGGTGGAGGACCACAGGGAAGAGCTAACCACTGAAGAGCTGCAAGAGCTTCATCTCGAACAGCAACAGACTGCAGCTGAGGAACTTGCTTCAGAGGAGGAGGAAGAGGGAGTGAAGGAGATGCCTTCTTCAGAGATTAAAGAAGTGTGTGCAATGTGGACCGGGGTGCAAGCTTTTGTAGAGAAACATCACCCTGACAAAGCTAAAACAAGCCATATCTGCAACATGTTTAATAACAAAACCCTGTCTCACTTCAGGGAAATCTTAGAGACACCAGAAACAGAGCACTCTGGATAGTTATTTTGTGAGACAGGGGTCCAGTGACTCTCATGCTGGTCCTAGTGACATTAAAAGACAGAGAAGGGAAGTAACCCCAGAGAAGGCATTACTACCTAAAGTCTTCATGGAGGGGGATTCCCCTTCCAAACACTAACTCCTCTCTCTTTCCTCCTTCCTATCTTCCAGAAACCAGCATTAGCCTTCAATAAAGGTATGTAATAAATACTTGCATAATTGTTAAAAAAATTATTTTTTGTGAATATTTTTGTTTGGAATGGATTAATTGTATTTCCATTAATTCTTATGGGAAATATTAATTTGGTTTTCAGCCATTTCAGTTATTGGCCGACCTTCTGGAACGGATTACGGGTGATAACCGGGGGTCCACAGTAACTGACATTTGAACTGAAGAAAGTTGGATATTATTTTCTGTGCAATAATTTAAGTATCTTTCTATGATTGGCTTCATATTTTCAGTGCTAATTAACTACATTATAAACTAATGCTGCACTCTGTACTATTCCTTTAATGTGCATTGAGATAGCTGGGCTTACGGATACGAGGATGTTTTCCAAGGAGCAGCCACTATAAGAACACAAGAATGGAGGAACACTGCAGAAGGCCTACTGGCCCATATTAGGCACATCTTTCTCAAAACATTTAATATTATAATATTATGACAGTGTTAGTCAACTTTCAGCTCTACTCTCATTTTATAAAACACACACTCTGGAAGAGCATACAGTAAGGGAAGATATGAATAAATAGTACAAATGGGAAATAGAAATAAATGAAGGGGATATAAATAAAATACTTGAAATATCTAACAAAGACAGGACTCACAGCAACAATTTAAATTGGGCAAATTTAGATTTAGAAAGGATATAGGGAAGCACAGATTTAGCAATAGAATTGTAGATGAGTGGAACAAACTCCCAAATGTGTCACTGAGGAAAGAACTTTAGGTAGCTTTAAAAATAGGTTGAAAAGACACATGAGTGGATGGATGTGAGTTAAACCTCACTAGCCAGTAGGTCTAAATTACCAGTTACTTAATTGTGTTCTTATGGTTTTAAAAGCCTATAGTCTCTTAAGTGTAATATCTGTATATTTCATTTTTAATGCTTTAATAATAATAATAATAATAATATTATTATTATTATTATTATTATTATTATTATTATTATTTTCACCATTATTATTATTATTATTGTTATTATTATTATCATTATTATTATTTTCACCATTATTATTATTATTATTATTATTATCTTCACCATTATTGTTATTATTATTATAATTATTATAAATTTTGTAAAATATAAGGCTAGGTTATACATCTTTCTCTTTGATTATTTTTAAAGCTAATGCTTTATTTAATATACTTTTGATTTATTCAACTTCTCAACACTGCTTTTATTTTTCATTATGGTATTACATTATCAAAATAGTGAATGTTAATAATATTTCCAGTACATTTGAAAGATGATTAGAGTGGCGGCCTTCACACAACAGCAACAACTGACTTTCTGGTTTCTTGTGAAGTTTTTTTTTTTTTTTTTGCTTCAAGAGCAGCTGGGTTGCAGTAAACTAGTAAGCTGAAACTTAAAATTAGTCCAGTTTGATTGTTATATTTAGTTTCAAGTTAAAATTAATCCAATTTGATTGTTGTTGTATAGTTTTTGGAGTATGTTATGGAATTGTTCAAAATTTTGGTAGGACTTTGTACCCAGGCAGTAAAGTTCAACTTAATTAGTGACTGAGCACTTCATAGTTCCTAACTACTTAGCAAGGAAATAAACCGGTGCAGCAATATGTAAACAATTTCCATTGGTGTCTTGAGAGACAAACCTATATTTTTAATTTCCTACCTGTCTGTAAAATTTTATTCATATACCTTTAATTTCTTAGCTGCAATATCTTCCGCTATTGTAGGAGCTTACATACCTACTTTATTCATCCTTATAACTAAAATTGTAGAATAAAGAGTTTTGCCTCTGTATTCCTTGAAACAAAAATTTACACTACACACAAGATGGGAAAAATAATTTTCCGTATTCTGACCTAAAAATATTGCAGAAATGGGATCTGGAAGTGTCAGTTATATGTTAGTTTAATTTAATATCTTTATAATGCACCCCCATACCCGTGGTGTGGGCACATAATGGGTTCAGGAGCCCATCTAAGGTAGAAAACTATTATATAAATTTCATTCTGTGATAAGATTTAAATTTTTAAAATCTTCTAAGGAATATAGTCATCAACAATAAAGTACAATAATAATAATAATAATAATATACTACTGCTAACTATTAACTACTATAATAATGTATGATGCACATTATCTTCATTGTAACAAATGGATTTGGGGAAGAGAAGGAAGCAGCCTATGAAGGCAAGTGTGCCTAGTACCTATGAAGGTCTTAAAACTGGCCTGATGGGTGATAATACAGCCAGAAGTCTCATATCAACCAAATAACCTCTGCAACCATGGCTCGTCTGGTAAATCTATGAGTATCCTAAAGAAATCTCAACAGAGAGTCATTCACGACCCTTTATACAAAATATGTAAGGCCCACTTTGGAGTGTGCAGCACCAACGTGGAACTCATTAATTTTCTTGTTTATTATTAATATTAATTTTATATATTTTATTTTTAAATCTTTTTTTTCATTATCACATGAAAAAATTTTTTTTAAGAAACTGTAGAAAATGTTGAGGCATGCAGTGAGGCTTCTTCCTGAGCCAAGGGAGATGTGATGACAACATGCAAAATACTTGAAGAATTGATAGGGTAAACAAGGATAGGCTGTTTGAAAGGTGAGAAACAGGTACTCAGGGATGCAGGTGGAAATTAAAAACACAGATGAGCCACAGGGATGTCTTGAAGTATTTCTTCAGTCTCAGGGTGGTCAGGAAGTGGAATCAGTGGCATCGCTAGGGTTGGTGTCACCCAGGGCGGAATCTTTGGTGTCACCCCCATGAAATCCAAGGGTGGGGGGGGGATGGGAGCAGTAAACTCCAGTTAGATAAGATAAGATAAGATTTCGTTCGGATTTTTAACCCCGGGGGGTTAGCCACCCAGGATAACCCAAGAAAGTCAGTGCGTCATCGAGGACTGTCTAACTTATTTCCATTGGGGTCCTTAATCTTGTCCCCCAGGATGCGACCCACACCAGTCGACTAACACCCAGGTACCTATTTGCTGCTAGGTGAACAGGACAACAGGTGTAAGGAAACGTGTCGGAATGTTTCCACCCGCCGGGAATCGAACCCGGGCCCTCCGTGTGTGAAGCGGGAGCTTTAGCCACCAGGCCACTACTGCATGACCAGTGACTAATGTTTAGTAATGAGAACGTTTAAGCGCCATCAACCGAACAGAAGAATATTTCTCAACTTTATTAATGATAAATAATCGTAGTAATATTGAGGAAACATAGCCTCAAATTCCACTTTGAGTACAGGCAACAGATCCTACATTTATTCATCTTCAACAATGCAAAAAAAAAAAAAAAAACTTGAAAAATAAAGAAAAACATTGTAATATCAGAGAAACACTAGTTCCAATTTGACATTGAGTACAGGTAACATCTCAGTGAATCTGATCTTAAATTTCCTTGCTTTCAGTCCTGCAAAATCATCTATCACATCATCAAAAGCAATGATTTTTCCCTATAGTATAGGCCTATTTGTACTCTGTAATCATATAATAAGCTATATAGAAACAAAGGATTTTTCTCTTACGTTGCTGCAGCACTGTAATGTGCATTAATGTCACCTTCTTTAGAGGCTCTATGGTGTCACTCCATAAATGGTGTCACCCAGGGTGGCCCACCCCCCTGTCCCCCCTTATGATGGGTGTTAGTCAACTGGTGTGGGTTGCATTCTGGGGGACAAGATTAAGGACCCCAAAGAAAATAAGGCAGACAGAGTAGAAACATTGGGCGTGTTTCTTTCCACCTGTTGTCTATGTTCCCCATCAGTAAAAATGGGTACCTGGGTGTCAGTTGACTGGTGTGGGTCGCATCCTGGGACACTGACCTAATTTGCCCGACATACGGAGCATAACAAGGGGCCTTCTATGTAGTAGTATGTCATTGTTGTCAGCTAGGTCTGTATACCATGTACATGTACTTGTAGTAAATAAAGATATTATTATTATTATTATTATTATTATTATTATTATTATGATGATGATGCACTGCCTTTCTTGGGTTATCCTAGGTGGAAAACCCTTCTGGGTTAAAAATCCAAACAAAATCTTATTAGTCTGGTTGATCAGGCTCTGATCCACCACGAGGCGTGGTCACAGACCAGGCCATGGGGTTGTTGATCCCTGAAATCAACACTCGTGAATGGGTGTGAGGCATGGGTTATGAATGTTGCAACAAGGAGAAGGCTGGAGGCAGTGGAGATGTCATGTCTGAGGGCAATGTGTGGTGTGAATATAATGCAGAGAATCTGTAGTTTGGAGATTAGGAGATGTGGGGTTACCAAAGCTATTATCCAGAGGGCTGAGGAGGAGTTAATGAGATGGTTTGGACATGTAGAGAGGATGGAACGAAATAGAATGACTTCGAGAGTGTATAAATCTGTAGTGGAGGGAAGACGGGGTAGGGGTCGGCCTAGGAAAGGTTGGAGGGAGTGGGTAAAGGAGGTTTTTGTGTGTGAGGGGCTTGGACTTCCAGCACATGTGCATGAGCATGTTAGATAGGAGTAAATGTAGACAAATGATTTTTAGGACTTGACATGCTGTTGGAGTGTGAGCAAGGTAACATTTATGAAGGGGTTCAGGGAAACCTGCAGGCCGGCATTGATTCCTGGAGATGAAAAGTACAGTGCCAGCACTCTGAAGGAGGGGTGTTAATGTTGCAGTTTTATAACTGTAGTGTAAGCATGCTTCTGGCAAGATGGTGATGGAATGAATGATAATGAAAGTTTTTCTTTTTTAGGCCACCCTGCTTTGGTGGGAAACGGTCAATGTGTTAATAAAAAAGAAATAATCTCTTATCTTATGGTTTTTACCAACTCTGTATTGCACTCTTTGCATTTGGTAAAGTATAATACAGTACAGTATTATACATTTTAGCCATTCTTAATATTTTTGTTCTATTTTCAGAATGCTTCTGCAACCCATATGAATAAGAGCAACATGTCAACTTTACAGCAGGCTAACGTTTCATCTCCTAATCATGGGATGGTAGGGTATTAATGCACAAATCCTACTGAGAATTTATTTTCAGTTTATGTCAAATATTATATAATACAGAAAAATCAGTCAATAAGACACTTGTCTTGAATTATATTATAACTGCAGTTAGCATTTGATATTAAATTAACACATGTCAGTGAATTTTGTTGCCATGATGATTGAAACATATTTGAGGATGACAAGCCAACTGCAGACAGACACTTAACAAAGCCAATTTATATTGGACAACTTTCATTCATTTGTGAATGGAACTTTTACAGTGGGTTTATGCAAAGAGAGATTGGCTCATACCCTTGTCTGTTGTAATGTGGGTGGTACAGAGAGAGATTAATCTATACCTTGGTCAGTTGTAATGTGGGTGGTTCATAGTAAAATTAGTCCATACTTTGGTCTCTTTGATAGTTCGTATAGAAGGAGATTAGTATGTTCTCCAGCCTGTTGAAATGTGGGTGATTCAGAGAGAAAGGGATTTAAAATAGAAGAGGTGCATAATAGGTTGCAGTCAGAACGTTTGTATACCCAGAGGTGTAAGGAGTGTAATGAAGTAAGATTCTGGGAAGTGTTTAGTGAATGTGTTATTTTGAAGTAGGAGAATAATTATTTTGGAGACATGTCAGAATGGAAGACAGTGGGAAGGTGTACTATGAAATTGTGAAGTGCCAACCAGAACTGGCTGGACCCAGTCAGGCATTTGGGGTTATGAGGTATATATCTTAAATCTAGTACTAATTGTGCTTGCTGAATTGTATATTAAACATGTACTATTTTTATCTTACAGTGGTCATCAGTATTTGTAAATGATGTCAGTTGTGTCAGTCACTCAACACTATTTATAAGTCAACTAGTTTCAGTGGCACTGTCAACCATTACATACCTGCGGAACCTTTTTCCAGAGGTAATGTACTTTTTGTATTTTTTGGACATATTTTATTTGCAAGAATTCATATGAGAGAAAATAATGTAGGTGAACAAATGTGTTTCAAAGTTTGGTTTGGATGTTGTATATTGCCATCTATTCATATCTTAATGACTTTAGCAGTTACTCGTAGCTTTCCATCTGAGGTTGAAATAATGTTCATCTGCTTTATGTAATTGTCAGAATTACACGTAAAATTTTCAAACTTCCCTTATTGCTGTAATACAAATTTCCTGAATATTTTGATAGTACTGTACATTAAGGCTTTGTTACTTTTAACACATTTTCAAGGAGATACCTTGATGCCATTGAAGGGCTTTTCATCTGTGGAATTAGAGCTGTCATCCTGTTCCTCAGGATGGATAATGAGAACCTTCAAAACTAGGGAGGCCAAGCCCATGATGACACTCTTCAGGTCACTTGTTCTAGCTAGGCTGGAATATTGCTGCACACTAACAGCACCTTTCAAGGCAGGTGAAATTGCTGACCTAGAAAATGTACAGAGAACCTTCACGGCGCACATAACGGAGATAAAACACCTCAATTACTGGGAGCACTTGAGGTTCCTAAACCTGTATTCCCTGGAATGCAGGCGGGAGAGATACATGATTATATACACCTGGAAAATCCTAGAGGGACTAGTACCGAACTTGCACACGAAAATCACTCACTATGAAAGCAAAAGACTTGACAGACGATGCAACATCCCCCCAATGAAAAGCAGGGGTGTCACTAGCACGTTAAGAGACCATACAATAAGTGTCAGGGGCCCGAGACTGTTCAACTGCCTCCCAGCATACATAAGGGGGATTACCAACAGACTCCTGGCAGTCTTCAAGCTGGCACTGGACAAGCACCTAAAGTCGGTTCCTGACCAGCCGGGCTGTGGCTCGTACGTTGGTTTGCGTGCAGCCAGCAGCAACAGCCTGGTTGATCAGGCTCTGATCCACCGGGAGGCCTGGTCACAGACCGGGCCGCAGGGGCGTTGACCCCTGGAACTCTCTCCAGGTAAACTCCAGACTTAATTACTTCTCATTCCTCAGGTGCTAAATATGTACTGCCAGTATGTACTGGTTTGTACTAATGTATAATTGTGTTTTTAATTTTCTTAATTTAATTGTATACATATATGTACAATGTACAGTATGCACCATACAGGATATGTATATACAGGGTATGTGCTATACATTCCTGTTACATGAACATTGTTGCACTCTCATTTTTTTGTACTTGTTATACATATATTGTTCATCATACCAGAAAACTTTTTTATATTATCTTCATTCTGATCACATCTTTGCACTTTAATTTCCCTTTTCTGTGCATAATAGAGAAAATATCTAATGGTAAACTATGTAATACCATGGACATTAACCCTTGAACGGTCCAAACAGATCGACGTTCAAATTCATAGTGCTACAAAAGTAGACCTACTTTTTTTTACATATTTTCAAATATAACGAAAAAAAATGTAGATAAAAGTTTTTTTAACACGTTTTCAAATGTAAAACAAAAAAGAAGATCTACATTTTTTTACATACTTTCAGATGTTGAAAAAACGTATATATACGTTTGGACCATTTAAGGGTTAAATGGTATTTTACATTACTTGCACAGACTCCAACGGCTTGGAGTTTACCTGGCTCATCAAATCCCAAATATCACTCTTATCCACTTATTCAGATCTGCCATGCTTACACATCATTATCATCACCATCAAACTACTGTATTATAGGAAAGATATTGAAAGTTACGTGTGATAACTAACAAATCTGCATACAGTAATACTTTCCTTAATATATGAGTAATTTATGTTAATTATGAAAGGAGACTGGTGAATAATCTTTGAATAAAACCTGATAAGTCTCTGTCTTCATTTTCCTCGATAGACTGCTTATACTGACAAAGTTATTGATGGTTTAAACCTGAAGCTCCTGATGTCTAACAATCAACACATAGGACCGAACACTTTTGTGGAGAATATAGTGGCATGCTTTGAGGCACTAGAGAAGCAGTATGTAAGTACTATCTGCATTCAAAGTTTTCTGGATTTTTTCCTTTAGACTTATAACAAAGATGTATGTAGTACTACTACTACTAATAATAATAGTAATTGCTTAGTTATTACAAGAAATGAGTTAGCAGTTTGTGTATGGATTAAAAAAGCACCTAGTTATACACAGCATTTGGATAAAGTTTATGGTAAATGAAGTCTAGTCTATTATAATAATGTAAAGTAAAAGGATACAAGTGCAACTAATGTGACATTTTATTGTGGCAATGTTTCGCTCTCCAGGAGCTTTGTCAAGCCGATACAGCCGATACAATATATCGACTTGACAAAGCTCCTGGAGAGCGAAACGTTGCCACAATAAAATGTCACATTAGTTGCACTTGTGTCCTTTTACTTTACATATTGTCGGTAATTCTACCAACATTATTATTATAATAGTTAGAATCTTAATTACACAGCTAATTTTAATAAAATCAGTGTATTAGAGAACTAAATTTGGGCAGATATATTTTGTTGAAAATAAGAAAAAGTTTTGGAGTGAGATTAACAAGTTAAGAAAGCCTAGAGAACAAATGGATTTGTCAGTTAAAAATAGGAGAGGAGAGTTATTAAATGGAGAGTTAGAGGTATTGGGAAGATGGAGGGAATATTTTGAGGAATTGTTAAATGTTGATGAAGATAGGGAAGCTGTGATTTCGTGTATAGGGCAAGGAGGAATAACATCTTGTAGGAGTGAGGAAGAGCCAGTTGTGAGTGTGGGGGAAGTTCGTGAGGCAGTAGGTAAAATGAAAGGGGGTAAGGCAACCGGGATTGATGGGATAAAGATAGAAATGTTAAAAGCAGGTGGGGATATAGTTTTGGAGTGGTTGGTGCAATTATTTAATAAATGTATGTAAGAGGGTAAGGTACCTAGGGATTGGCAGAGAGCATGCATAGTTCCTTTGTATAAAGGCAAAGGGGACAAAAGAGAGTGCAAAAATTATAGGGGGATAAGTCTGTTGAGTATATCTGGTAAAGTGTATGGTAGAGTTATTATTGAAAGAATTAAGAGTAAGACGGAAAATAGGATAGCAGATGAACAAGGAGGCTTTAGGAAAGGTAGGGGGTGTGTAGACCAGGTGTTTACAGTGAAACATATAAGTGAACAGTATTTAGATAAGGCTAAAGAGGTCTTTGTGGCATTTATGGATTTGGAAAAGGCATATGACAGGGTGGATAGGGGGGCAATGTGGCAGATGTTCCAGGTGTATGGTGTAGGAGGTAGGTTACTGAAAGCAGTGAAGAGTTTTTACGAGGATAGTGAGGCTCAAGTTAGAGTATGTAGGAAAGAGGGAGATTATTTCCCAGTAAAAGTAGGCCTTAGACAAGGATGTGTGATGTCACCGTGGTTGTTTAATATATTTATAGTTGGGGTTGTAAGAGAAGTAAATGCGAGGGTCTTGGCAAGAGGCGTGGAGTTAAAAGATAAAGAATCACACATAAAGTGGGAGTTGTCACAGTTGCTCATTGCTGATGACACTACTCTTGGGAGATTCTGAAGATAAGTTGCAGAGATTGGTGGATGAATTTGGTAGGGTATGCAAAAGAAGAAAATTAAAAGTGAATACAGGAAAGAGTAAGGTTATGAGGACAACAAAAAGATTAGGTGATGAAAGATTGGATATCAGATTGGAGGGAGAGAGTATGGAGGAGGTGAATGTATTCAGATATTTGGGAGTGGACGTGTCAGCGGATGGGTCTATGAAAGATGAGGTGAATCATAGAATTGATGAGGGGAAAAGGGTGAGTGGTGCACTTAGGAGTCTGTGGAGACAAAGAACTTTGTCCTTGGAGGCAAAGAGGGGAATGTATGAGAGTATAGTTTTACCAACGCTCTTATATGGGTGTGAAGCATGGGTGATGAATGTTGCAGCGAGGAGAAGGCTGGAGGCAGTGGAGATGTCATGTCTTAGGGCAATGTGTGGTGTGAATATAATGCAGAGAATTCGTAGTTTGGAAGTTAGGAGGAGGTGCAGGATTACCAAAACTGTTGTCCAGAGGGCTGAGGAAGGGTTGTTGAGGTGGTTCGGACATGTAGAGAGAATGGAGCGAAACAGAATGAGTTCAAGAGTGTATCAGTCTGTAGTGGAAGGAAGGCAGGGTAGGGGTCGGCCTAGGAAAGGTTGGAGAGAGGGGGTAAAGGAGGTTTTGTGTGCAAGGGGCTTGGACTTCCAGCAGGCATGCGTGAGCGTGTTTGATAGGAGTGAATGGAGACAAATGGTTTTTAATACTTGACGTGCTGTTGGAGTGTGAGCAAAGTAACATATATGAAGGGATTCAGAGAAACCGGCAGGCCGGACTTGAGTCCTGGAGATGGGAAGTACAGTGCCTGCACTCTGAAGGAGGGGTGTTAATGTCGCAGTTTAAAAACAGTAGTGTAAAGCACCCTTCTGGCAAGACAGTGATGGAGTGAATGATGGTGAAAGTTTTTCTTTTTCAGGCCACCCTGCCTTGGTGGGAATTGGCCAGTGTGATAATAATAATAAAAAATATATGTGACTCTTGACCTACAACTGCACAACTTCTTGTACCTCCACCCCTCCACCTATCATTTGTAATATTTACAACAATGCCAGGAGCAAAGGTTTGAGTTAAGACTTGTATTATTTTTTGTTATCAAATTGTTTCTTTCAAATTTTACACTGATGAAGTATCTTTTTTTAATGCTTTTAATACCATTTTCTCTGTTTCTGCAGGGTGTTTTGATATACAATTTTCATGAGACTGTGAGGTTTTTGTCTTAAAGACTGCCAACATTACTAGGAATTTGTAAAGCTAGTTCAATGTTTTTGGTGTCCTTTTATTTAAAATACAGTGTAATAATATTTTTGTGATTCCTAGAATTTGGTTGCATTTTTTTTTTATAATTGCTCCAACTTACAGAACTTGACTGATTCCGACATGGTATAACATTTGCAGCAGTGAATATTGAAATAGAAAATACGTATTTGTGGTTATTACACATATTGAAAAATTAAAATTTGTGTCATGGTTTTATGGATTTATAAATGTTCTGTTGCAAATTTTCTAGCGAGATCACTTTCTTTCAGCTGAGAGAAATGAAGTTACTAATATACGAGCATGACCCAGATTTTCCACTGGAGGTGTACACATTCAAATTCAACTATCAAGATGGCTCAGCATCTGTTTCAAATTTAAAATTGTGCAATAAAAAGTAAGTCTAAGATTTTTACAAACACTTATAAAATGTAATACTAGTACATGTATTTTCTTCACTGTTTATGAAATGATAAATGATAAACTTTATTTCTACAAAGTATAATTTACAATTGGAAGGAGGACAAAGTGACATTATTGAAATACTTTGTAGAAAGTCCTTGGTTATGTGGAGCATTTCAGGCAGCCTTAAAATAAATTTATAACTACATCTAACTTATAAATATACTAGAATTTTTTTGCAGAGGCAATTTATTGGAAGTTTTAGTAAAACAATTTGCTATAATGTTTGTAGTGGTTATTAAAAATGCTGGTCAAATATAAATGCAAATACAAATCTAAATTTCAGTATAACTGCACAGGACATACAAAAAACTGAAGAACCATAGAATGTATAGCATCTCAGGCAAAACTTAGACTATATTATACTAAAAATTTACTCCTAAGTTATTTAATTTTTCATTTTTATTTTTTCTCTAAGGATCTGGTACACAGTATTAGTAGGAACTTAAAAATCGATACAAGATACAGGTTAATTCATTAAAAACCATAATAAGAAAATATAATTGTCTAGCAGTATATAGTAAAAGATAGTAAGCCCTGAGATGTATGTGGTGTAATTAAGAAATAAGGGAGGCAGAGTGAAAAGTCTGCATTCGTATGTAGTACTATACTTAAGATTTAAGGTTAAGATATTATATTTAAATGAATTTATAGGGCTGTAATTGTTATTATTATATTATTAATATTTTTTTAATGTACTGGCTGTCTCCCACCAAGGAAGGGTGACCCAAAAGTGGAACACTTTCACCATTATTCACTCCATCAGCCTAAGGTGAACCAGTACTACATATAAGATTCCCCATCAGGTTGCAGATATCACCACCCCACCTTCGAAGTGAAGGCACTGTAATTTCCACCTCCAGGACTCAAGTTCAATTAACTGGACTTGATCCATGAAAGGAGAGATTAGGTTCAATTCCTTGGATAAAGAGTCCTTCACCAGTATCAAGGCATGCCCCTTGAAATGATAAGACTGTAATAAAACAGTGAAATTGGTAGTGAGAGGACTTTTATTCTTTGTGACTGGGGAATTGTAGATGTCAGCTGATTTATAGGCAGTGTTTATGGTTATCTGGTTATGAATATTCATTATGTAGTTCTGTAATTATGTACTATACTCATTGTTTAGCCATTTTCTAGGGGATGTTTCAAAATTTATTTGGATAAAAATTTTGAAATTTTAATATTTACCAATTTCAATTTCAACAGAAGGAAAAGTACATTAACAATTCAGATGCCAGTAAAGAAGATGCTGCGGTCAATTATTATGGCAGTTCAGTCATTTGATGACCTCCCAGATAGTGTAATTTTTGGGTTCAAGTTATTTTACTATGATGATGGTGAGTGTTTTTCTTTTACCCAAGTTATTTTTTGACACTATTTTTAACTTATTCTATTCTTTATTATTTAGGTAATTTGCTTAATTTGACTGTGAGCTGTGAGTTTATTCATATTGCCTCACTAATCATGTTTTTGACCAACTATGTTTGTAGAGGCCATGAAGTGGACTAGGAAGCCCATAGTTTGTTCAGAGTTTTCACTGTTTAGCCTAATTAGCTTTTTCTCACTGAATTTTTAACCATAGGACAATCAGGGCTTTGATAGTTTTGGTAAGTAGATTGTTCATAGGCATATTACTCCTTAGGAGAACAATAATTTTATGATGCCTTTACTGCACTACAGGTGTCATTCTTAAAGTTGTTGCTCCCTATTGTGCCATCACTGAATTCTTCACAGTGGTCGACATTAATAGCATACATTTCACAAATGTTTGCAATTACAATCAATTATTATTGATGCAAAGCCAGAGAAAATGCTGTGGCTTGGTTGAGGAGTGCACTTAGCTTGCATACTGTGTGTCCCTGGTTCGATCCTTGGCCACCTTAAAAGTTTTGTAGGCCCTAGACACTGTGCCTGATGGATAATATGGTCTTTTTGCCCCTTCCCCAATCTTCACTACCTTGCATCCACCTTATCTATTCCATGCAGTATTTTGTATGTCGTTATCATGTCTCCCCTGACCCTCCTGTCCTCCAGTGTCGTCAGATTGATTTCCCTTAACCTTTCTTCATAGGACATTCCCCTTAGCTCTGGAACCAGCCTTGTTGCAAACCTTTGCACTTTCTCTAATTTCTTGCGTGTTTGACCAGGTGTGGGTTCCAAACTGGTGCTGCATACTCCAGTATGGCCCTGACATACACAGTGTATAAAGTCTTGAACGATTCCTTACTGAGGTACCAGAACGCTATTCTCAGGTTTGCCAGGTGCCCATATGCCACAGCAGTTATCTGGTTAATGTGTGCTTCTGGCGATGTACTTGGTATTATACTCACTCCTAGATCTTTCTCCTTGAGTGAGGTTTGCAGTCTTTGGCCTTCTAGCCTATACTCTATCTGCGGTCTACTTTGCCTTTCTCCGATCTTCATGACTTTGCACTTGGCGGGGCTAAATTTTAGGAGCCAGTTGCTGGACCACACATCCAGCCTGTCTCCATTTCTCTTTGTAGACCTGTCTGGTCCGCATCTGATTTAATTCTCCTCATTAACTTCACATCATCTGCAAACAGGGACACTTCTGAGTTTATCTCTTCCATCATGTCGTTTACATATACCAAGAATAGCACTGGTCCCAGGACTGACCCCTGTGGGACCCGGTTCGTCACCGGCACTCATTGTGATCGCATCACGGACCATGACTCGCTGTTGCCTCCCTGTTAGGTATTCTCTGATCCATTGCAGTGCCCTTCCTGTTATATGTGCCTGTTCCTCTAGCTTCTGTACTAATCTCTTGTGAGGAACTGTGTTGAAGGCCTTCTTGCAGTCCAAGAAAATGCAATCAACCCACCCCTCCCTCTCATTTCTTACCTCAGTTACCTTGTCATAAAACTCTAGTAGGTTTGTGACACAGGATTTGCCTTCCATGAATCCTGCTGGCTGTCGTTTATAATCTTGTTCCACTCCAGGTGCTCCACCACTCTCCTCCTGATAATTTTCTCCATGACTTTGCATACTATACACGTCAGTGACACTGGTTTATAATTTAGTGCTTCATTTCTGTCTTCTTTCTTAAAGATGGGGACTACATTTACCTTCTTCCATACTTCAGGTAGTTGCCCAGTTTCAAGGGAAGTGTTGAAGATTTTGGTTAGTGGCACACGTAGTGTCTCTGCTCCCTCTCTAAGGACCCATGGAGAGATGTTGTCCGGTCCCACTGCCTTTGAAGTATCAAGGTAACTTAGGAGCTTCTCTACCTCCTCAGTTGTGTGTAATTCATCCAACACTTGTTGGTATATCCCTTGTTGATGTACCCCCACTATTTTGTCTTCCCAGTGTCCCTTCAGCCTCCACTGTAAATACTTCCTGAAATCTCATGTTGAGCTCCTCACAGACTTCTTAGTCATTTCTTGTGAGCTCCTCACCTGATTACCTGGTCCGTGACTGTTGTCTTCCTCCTGATGTGGCTGTAAAGCAGTTTCGGGTCAGACTTGACTTTCGATGCTATGTCGTTTTCATACTGCCGCTGCTCCTCCCTCCTTATCTGTGCATATCGTTTCTGGCTCGTCAACTAATCTCTTTATTTTTCTGAGTCCTTTGCCTTCTGTACTTTTTCCATTCTCTAGAGCACTTAGTTTTGTGTGTGTGTACTCACCTATTTGTACTCACCTATTTGTGGTTGCAGGGGTCGAGTCATAGCTCCTGATTGCTACTAGGTCCTCTCTCTTCCTGCTCCATGAGCTTTATCATACCTCGCCTTAAAACTATGTATGGTTTCCGCCTCCACTACTTCACTTTCTAGGCTATTCCACGGCTTGACTACTCTATGACTGAAGAAATACTTCCTAACATCCCTTTGATTCATCTGAGTCTTCAACTTCCAATTGTGACCTCTTGTGTCTGTGTCCCATCTCTGGAACATCCCGTCTTTGTCCACCTCGTCTATTCCGTGCAGTATTTTATATGTCGTTATCATGTCTCCCCTGACCCTCCTGGCCTCCAGTGTCGTCAGGCCGATTTCCCTCAACCTTTCTTCGTAGGACAATCCCCATAGCTCTGGCACTAGTCTTGTTGCAAACCTTTGCACTTTCTCTAATTTCTTGACGTGCTTGTTTAGGTGTGGATTCCAAACTGGTGCTGCATACTCCAGTATGGGCCTGACGTAAATGGTATACAGAGTCTTGAACGACTCCTTACTGAGGTATCGGAACGCTATCCGTAGGTTTGCCAGGCGCCCGTATGCTGCAGCAGTTATCTGATTGATGTGCGCCTCAGGAGATATGCTCGGTGTTATACTCACCCCCAGATCTTTTTCCTTGAGTGAGGTTTGCAGACTTTGGCCATCTAAACTATATTGTGTCTGCGGTCTTCTTTGCCCTTCCCCAATCTTCATGACTTTGCATTTGGCAGGGTTAAACTCAAGGAGCCAGTTGCTGGACCAGGCTTGTAGCCTGTCCAGGTCTCTTTGTAGTCCTGCCTGATCCTCATCCGATTTGATTCTTCTCATTAACTTCACATCGTCCGCAAACAAGGACACTTCTGAGTCTATCCCTTCCGTTATGTCATTCACATATACCAAGAACAGCACAGGTCCTAGGACTGACCCCTGTGGAACCCCGCTTGTCACAGGCGCCCACTTTGACACCTCGTCACGTACAATGACTCGTTGTTGCCTCCCTGTAAGGTATTCTCTTATCCATTGCAGTGCCTTTCCTGTTATGTGTGCCTGATCCTCTAGTTTTTGCAGTAACCTCTTGTGAGGAACTGTGTCGAAGGCCTTCTTGCAGTCCAAAAAAATACAGTCGATCCACCCCTCTCTCTCTTGTCTTACTTCTGTCACCTTGTCATAAAACTCTAATAGGTTTGTGACACAGGATTTTCCCTCCCTGAAACCATGCTGGTTGTCAATTATACACTTGTTTCTTTCCAGGTGCTCCACCACTCTCCTCCTGATGATCTTCTCCATGACCTTGCATACTATACACGTTAGTGATACAGGTCTGTAGTTTAGTGCCTCATGTCTGTCTCCCTTTTTAAAAATTGGGACTACATTTGCCATTTTCCCATACCTTGGGGGAGTTGCCCAGTTTCAAATGATGTGTTGAAGATCTTTGTTAATGGTACACACAAAGTGTCTGCTCCCTCTTTAAGGACCCACGGAGAGATGTTGTCTGGTCCCACCGCCTTTGAGGTGTCAAGTTCGCATAGCAGCTTCTCACCTCCTCCTTGGTTATATGTACCTCATCCAGCACTTGGCTGGTGCACCCTGCTCTGATTTCCTGGAGTCCTACTGCTTTCCACTGTAAATACTTCTTTAAATCTTGTGTTGAGCTCCTGACATACCCCCCGGTCGTTTCTTGTGAATTCCCCATCACCCTTCCTCAGTCTGATTACCTGGTCTTGACTGTTTTCCTCCTGATGTGGCTGTACAACAGCTTCGGGTCAGTCTTGATTTTTCAATGCTATTCATTTTCGTATTGCCGCTGAGCCTCCTTTCTTATCTGTGCATATTCGTTTCTGGCTCTTCGGCTAATCTCTTATTTTCCTGAGTTCTCTGTCTTCTGTACCTTTTCCATCTCTAGTACACCTAGTTTTTGCCCCCCTACACCTTTGGGTGAACCAAGGACTCGTTCTGTTCTTCCCATTATTTCTGTTTCCCTTAGGAACAAACCTCCCCTTTTGCCTCCTTGCTTTTTTGTTGCCACATAGTCCATCTTTTCCCTTGTACTGGTTTTCCTGTCAGTTCCCTCTCCCACTGAATTTCTTGAAAGAAGTTCCTCAAGCCTGAGTAGTTCCCCCTTTTGTAGTTTGGTTTTCCCACCCTATTCCTGCTGCTCTCTCCACTTGGAGCTCAACTATGTAGTCGAAGCACAGAACCACATGATCACTAGCTCCCAGGGGCCTTTCATACATGATATCCTCGATGTCAGAACTACTCAAGGTAAATACAAGGTCCAGTCTTGCTGGTTCATCCTCTCCTCTCTCTTGGTAGTGTCTCTAACATGTTGATGCATGAGGTTTTCCAGTACCACGTCCTTCATCTTGGCTCTCCATGTTTCGGGACCCCCATGGGGCTTCAGGTTTTCCCAGTCAATCTCCTTGTGATTGAAATCACCCATAACTAGTAACTTTGCTCCCCCATGTGTGCTCTCCTGGCCACCTCGGCTAGTGTGTCGACCATTGCTCTGTTGCTCTCATCTTTATTCTTCTCTTGGCCTCCTGCAGTTCTGTGGTGGGTTGTACATTACTGCAATTATCACCTTATGTCCCTCAGACTGGATTGTTCCTACTAAGTACATGTAGTCCCTTTCGCCCGTGCCATCCATTCCTTCCATTTTCTCAAACCCCCACTGGTTTTTAATAAGCAGTGCAACTCCTCCTACCCCTCTCCTCCCTCTGTCTTTCCTGAGGATTTGATATCCGGATGGAAAGATTGAATCTGTTATTATTCTTGTGAGTTTTGTTTCTGTGAGTGCTATTATGTCTGGGGATGTCTCCTTGATTCTTTCGTGCCACTCCTCATACTTATTTGTTAATCCATCTGCATTTGTATACCACACCTTCAACTTCTTTTCTAAGATTGTGGTCTGGGAGGTGTATTGGGGTTGGGGAAGTAGGAGACCTGATAAGGAACTATGGGTGGTTGCTGTGGGGGTGGAGTTTGTAATGCGTGGGTGGGGGCATTGGATGTGGCATGGGTGTTTTGGTTTAGAGTGTTTGGTTGCACTGGGGTTGACCTGGTTGGGAGGCTTCTATAGGAAGTTGTGAGGGAGACTGTATTTGATCTTCCTGGGTCTGGGATCTCCTGTCTGTCTTCTCCATCCCCTCTCTTTCCTCCTTTCGCCTTTGTACCATCTCTCTCAGTTTCTTCCTTTCTTCTTGTGTTCTGTCGCGGTCGAGATACACCCTCCTGTATGCCGTCATGTCCCTTAATCGTGCTTTCTCCTGCAGTATCCTGGTCCGAGTCGCTTCTGCCTTGAAGGTCACTCTCACTGGCCGGGTTCTTTTTTTACAAACCCCCCTATTCTCCGAAAATTTTCCAGCTGGGTCATATCGTCTTCTCCTATTGCTTTCATGATGCTTTCAATTGCTTTTTTTTTCCCCTTGTTTTTCTTGCTTCATATGTTTTCCCCTTCGACTTCCTGGAGCCCATACACAAAGACTGACCTCACTCTTTCATTCTCCCACTGCATATCCCTGTGTATCCCCTCATTTAATTTGGTTTCCTCCACTGCAGCTTTCCTTTCATCAGTTTCACTGGCTAATGTACTTGGGCTCAGTGGCCTGTCATTTTTCCTTCTCGGCTTTCCTTGGGCTCTGTTGTTGTTTGTTAGGGCCTCCACATAAAGCTTAGCTCTTTCATTTGTGTGTGTGTGTGTGTGTGTGTGTGTGTGTGTGTGTGTGTGTGTGTATGTGTGTGTGTGTGTGTGTGTGTGTGTGTGTGTGTGTGTGTGTGTGTGTGTGTACTCACCTAGTTGCACTCACCTAGTTGAGGTTGCAGGGGTCGAGTCCAAGCTCCTGGCCCCGCCTCTTCACTGGTCGCCACTAGGTCACTCTCCCTGAACCATGAGCTTTATCGTACCTCTGCTTAAAGCTATGTATGGATCCTGCCTCCACTACATCTCTTCCCAAACTATTCCATTTCCTGACTACTCTGTGGCTGAAGAAATACTTCCTAACATCCCTGTGATTCATCTGTGTCTTCAGCTTCCAACTGTGTCCCCTTGTTGCTGTGTCCAGTCTCTGGTCTTTGTCCACCTTGTCAATTCCTCTCAGTATTTTGTAAGTCGTTATCATGTTCCCCCTATCTCTCCTGTCCTCCAGTGTCGTCAGGTTGATTTCCCTTAACCTCTCCTCGTAGGACATACCTCTTAGCTCTGGGACTAGTCTTGTGGCAAACCTTTGCACTTTCTCTAGTTTCTTTACATGCTTGGCTAGGTGTGGGTTCCAAACTGGTGCCGCATACTCCAATATGGGCCTAACGTACACGGTGTACAGGGTCCTGAACGACTCCTTATTAAGATGTTGGAATGCTGTTCTGAGGTTTGCCAGGTGCCCATAGCTGCAGCAGTTATTTGGTTGATGTGCACTTCAGGAGATGTGCCTGGTGTTATACTCACCCCAAGATCTTTTTCCTTGAGTGAGGTTTGTAGTCTCTGGCCCCCTAGACTGTACTCTGTCTGCGGTCTTCTTTGCCCTTCCCCAATCTTCATGACTTGCACTTGGTGGATTGAACTCTAGGAGCCAATTGCTGGACCAGGTCTGCAGCCTGCCAGATCCCTTTGTTAGTTCTGCCTGGTCTTCGATTGAATGAATTCTTCTCATCAACTTCACATCATCTGCAAACAGTGACACCTCAGAGTTTATTCCTTCTGTCATGTCGTTCACAAATACCAGAAAACAGCACTGGTCCTAGGACTGACCCCTGTGGGACCCCGCTGGTCACAGGTGCCCACTCTGACACCTCGCCACGTACCATTACTCGCTGCTGTCTTCCTGACAAATATTCCCTGATCCCCTTTGTAGTGCCTTCCCTGTTATCCCTGCTTGGTCCTCCAGTTTTTGCACTAATCTCTTGTGTGGGGAACTGTGTCAAACGCCTTCTTGCAGTCCAAGAAAATGCAATCCACCCACCCCTCTCTCTCTTGTCTTACTTCTGTCACCTTGTCATAGAACTCCAGTAGGTTTGTGACACAGGATTTCCCGTCCCTGAAACCATGTTGGGTGCTGTTGATGAGATCATTCCTTTCTAGGTGTTCCACCACTCTTCTCCTGACAATCTTCTCCATGACTTTGCATACTATACATGTCAGTGACACTGGTCTGTAGTTTAGTGCTTCATGTCTGTCTCCTTTTTTAAAGATTGGGACTGCATTTGCTGTCTTCCATGCCTCAGGCAATCTCCCTGTTTCGATAGATGTATTGAATATTGTTGTTAGGGGTACACATAGCACCTCTGCTTCCTCTCTCAGGACCCATGGAGAGATGTTATCTGGCCCCATTGCCTTTGAGGTATATAGCTCACTCAGAAGCCTCGTCACTTCTTCCTCGGTTGTGTGTACCGTGTCCAGCACCTGGTGATGTGCCACACCTCTCTGTCCCTCTGGAGCCCCTTCTGTCTCCTCTGTGAACACTTCTTTGAATCTCTTGTTGAGTTCCTCACATACTTCATGGTCATTTCTTGTTGTCTCTCCTCCTTCCTTCCTTAGCCTGATTACCTGGTCCTTGACTGTTGTTTTCCTCCTGATGTGGCTGTATAACAGCTTCTGGTCAGATTTGGCTTTCGCTGCTATGTCGTTTTCATATTGTCGTTTGGCCTCCCTTCTTATTTGTGCATATTCGTTTCTGGCTCTACGACTGCTCTCCTTATTCTCCTGGGTCCTTTGCCTTCTATATTTCTTCCATTCCCTAGCACACTTGGTTTTTGCCTCCTTGCACCTTTGGGTGAACCATGGGCTCATCCTGGCTTTTTCATTATTCCTGTTTCCCTTGGGTACAAACCTCTCTTCAGCCTCCTTGCACATTGTTGCTACATATTCCATCATCTCATTAACTGGCTTCCCTGCCAGTTCTCTGTCCCACTGAACCTCGTTCAGGAAGTTCCTTATTCCCATGTAGTCCCCTTTCCTGTAGTTTGGTTTCATTTGTCCTGGCCTTCCTGCTTCCCCCTCCACTTGTAGCTCTACTGTGTATTCGAAGCTCAAAACCACATGATCGCTGGCCCCAAGGGGTCTTTCATATGTGATGTCCTCAATATCTGCACTGCTCAAGGTGAATACTAAGTCCAGTCTTGCTGGCTCATCCTCTCCTCTCTCTCTTGTAGTGTCCCTTACGTGTTGGTACATGAAGTTTTCCAGTACCACCTCCATCATCTTAGCCCTCCATGTATCTTGGCCCCCATGTGGCTCCAAGTTCTCCCAGTCGATCTCCTTGTGGTTAAAGTCGCCCATGATCAGGAGCTTTGCCCTGCATGCATGAGCTCTTCTGGCCACTGCAGCCGGTGTGTCAACCATCACTCTATTGTTCTGGTCATACTCATGCCCTGGTCTCCTGCTGTTCTGTGGTGGGTTATACATCACTGCAATTACCACCTTGGGACCTCCAGAGTGAAGCGTTCCCGCTCTGTAATCACTTTCTTCTCCGCTGTCTCCTCTCTCCAGCTCATCAAAATTCCTATTTGTGGTTGCAGGGGTCGAAGTCACAGCTCCTGGTGTGTCCTTACCTATTTGTGGTTGCAGGGGTCAAGTCACAGTTCCTGGCCCTGCCTCTTCACTGGCCACCACTAGGTTCACTCTCTTCTGTCTCCATAAGCTTTATCATGTCTCTTCTTAAAACTATGCTATGTGTGCATGTGCATATGTGTATTTGTGCATGTTTGTATGCGTTTGTGTTTATATGTGTGTTTGTAAGGAGCCTAGTAATGAAGGGGTGTTAATTTAGCTGGCCCTGCGTATCCAACACTAGTTGGGTATATGCTGTCCTTGGATGTCAGTCAGTTACTGAGTTAAACCCTGGGGGTAGTATAGTTTAACTAGGGCCAGATTTTCAAACAGTAAGGTAGGATAAAATTTCTTAGATGGGATAAATGAAGCGAATTAAAATATAAAGAAATATGTAAGTGACGGATGTTGCATACCTCTGAGGTACGCAACCCAGGTTGAAAACCCCTTAGCATGTTCGTTATACTACCATGGAACAATTTCGGCAAACACTATATCTATCTACTACCAGGCCCTGGCTTGTTACAAGTATCTCTGGGAGGTAACAGTATCAATAACTAAATGTAAACCTTGCTGGAATGCAATAAAACTGATGAATTCAGAGACAACTCATTTACAAAGCAGAAGATCCAGGGCACTGCCTTGGTCCACCCACATGTTGATTGGTTGAGGCACTGTCATGAATGGTCACATAGTGGTGTCTGTCTCTCACTTGCATATAGCTTTATTTTGGTATAATCTTATGATTTTTCCATATTTATTTTTGATCTGTTTGTCTGCTGTTGTTGTTGGTTGCTTCCTCATAATTTTTTTCCTTGTTACAGTGACTCCATCAGACTATGAACCTGTTGGTTTCTTGCCCGTTGTAACCCTTCAAGCCAAGTTTCCTTCCAATGCTGTTAACATAATAGTGAGTGCATATTATGAATATTTATCAAAAGTCATTCTGCCCATTTGTCAGAAACATTTGAAGGTACAGTACTGTAGCAGTGTACTTTCAAATGTTTCCTCTTTCTGTGTTTAGGTAATTGTGCAAACAAGAGCTTCTTGTACCAACTTCCTTGCCATAGCAGTGCATCTCAGCTAAAACTCTGCATTTCCTACAGTACTGTATAACAGCTATGATATGTGCATGCACAAGGTGCATTTAAGATTTTTAACTGGATAGTACATACACAAATAACCTGCAAATAGTTTGACTAGTCATTGGTCCAGATCGGATTGAAACATCGACTAGTCATTGGTCCAGATCGGATTGAAACATCACCATGAGCTTCTTTCTCCTATGTGCAGGTTTTTTATGTATTTTTCCAGTCACAGTATTGTGCCTTTTTATTCTTCTCCCTGGATAGTAGACCAATTAGCATACTGAATGGTCTGTTCTTTATTAACACATCTGCTATTTCCCACCGAGGCAGGGTGACCTGAAAAAGAAGAAACACTTTCATCGTCATACATTCCATCTCCATCACTGTCTGGCAGGTGGAGTGTATGGTTTAGTATTTTTTGTATTTTAACGTTTTATTCTTTTCAGTCTGGTAATGTGCAAACATTATATCACAAAATGCAGCTTAAAGTTACTACTACATACATTAGCAGTTATGCTACTGAAATTCCTGATGTTCAGCCTAACACCCAGTGCATGGTTTGTATTACCTTTAATTTTTTTTTTTTTTTTTTATCTACTCACCTAGTATGTTTCATTTTACATGAAACTGATTAATTGGTCCTCAAGTGAAATTTTTCTTAAGCAACTGTTCAATAGTTTGAGCTGGTGTTTCGTCCCACCTCTTATTCTGTATTTCTTCCATCTCTGTAAATGGCCTTTACACTCAACTAGCTGTATGATGACATTTCAGCCCAACTTGGACCACTGATAAGTCACACTGTGACTTGTCAGCGGTTCAAGTCATATTGAAATGTTGTCATAAGTTTCCTCCTTTCCTAAGTGCAACTTGATAAATTAGACACATGTGCAACACTTGGGTATCTTTATTGTGGAAATGTTTTGCCACACAGTGGCTTCATTAGTCCAATACAAAGAAGAGTGGTGAAGATCAAGAGTTTGAGGTAATCAGTTCTTCAGCCTGGAGTCAATGTAATCAGTCCATCAATCTTGATAAGAATACAACATATGCATGAAGAAGATGCTTATGTACTGCAGACGGGTGAGGTGAAGCAGTCATAGGTGGTGTTACCTTGGACAGATCCACAGGTGGAAGTAGGTCATGACGATAGGCTTAGACAAGCCTAGAATTCCATGTGTCAAGATCCCAAGATGTTGTGAAATCTACTTCTGTCTTCAGATTTGTCCAAGGTGGCAGTGCCTACAACTGCTTTACCTCACTTGTCTGCAGTATACAGTCCCCTTCTTTGTGTATATGCTGTATTCTTATCAAGATTGATAGATTGATTACATTGATTTCAAGCTGAGGGACTGATTACCTCAAACTCCTTTTGAGCTTCACCATTCTTACTTGTATTGGACTGATGATGCCACTGTGTGGGAAAATGTTTCCACAATAAAGATATATAAGTGTTGCACATGTGTCTAATTTATCAACTTGTTAGTTCTCTGAACCATTTATCTACATAAGTGCAAGTTATTTGTATATTGTTCTGAACATGGTATTGTGACTTTTCATTTTCTGTTGTCATATGTGTCTATTAATAATCTATGTTTTTATTTGGATTATCATTCAAATAATTACCTTACAAATAATTTTAATAACATTATGAGAACAGATTATCCAACTTAAAAGGGTGATATAAAAAAGACCTGGAAAACCCTATCTGAAATTCTAGGAACAAAAAAGATATCAGGAAACAGAAAAATCAAACTAACAAAACCGGATGAACCCCAACTCCCACCAACTGAAACAGTAAACAGACTCAATGTTTTCTTTTCCACTATAGGAAAAAACCTTGCGGGTAAAATCCCAAGCTCAAATACCCCACCTAATGACTACCTCACTGGCACCTACCCAGACACACTGTTCCTAGCTCTGACTAACCCAGCAGAAGTCTCCCTTATTATCAACACACGAAAGAACAAGACAGGAGATTTAAATACCTTACCACCCTTTATATACAAAAAAGCTTCACAAGTACTGCCACTAATCATTGCAACACTCTTTAAAATCCATTAAATCCTCTACCTTCCCTTCAGTTCTCAAAATAGCGATGGTCACCCCAATACATGAAGGAGGAGATCAAGCAGACTTGAATAACTATAGGCCAATATCCAACTTACACCCTCTCTCTAAAATCTTTGAAAAATTACTTCATAAGCGAATCTATTCCTACCTCATCTCCCACAACATACTCAACCCCTGTCAGTTTGGGTTCAGGCCTAATAAAAATATGAATGATGCTATTTTACACATGCTAGAACAAATATACACTGCACTTAAGAAAAAAGAAGTCCCATTGGGGATCTTCATCGATTTACGTAAAGCTTTTGATACAGTTTACCATGATTTGTTGCACATAAAATTGTCACACTATGGTATAAGAGGGCACTCCCTCAACTACCTAAAGTCATACCTTAGCAACAGAAGCCAGTATGTGTACACAAATGGAGCAAACTCTTCCACACAGCCAATTACAGTTGGTGTCCCACAGGGAAGTGTCCTTGGCCCTCTTCTCTTTCTCATTTACATAAACAACCTACGGAATGCATTGCAACTACTCAAACCCACACTATTTGCAGATAACACTACATACGTCTTCTCTCACCCGAGCCCAGTCATACTAGCCAATACTGTAAATACCGAATTACAGAAAATATCTACCTGGATGATGATTAACAAATTGCTCTCAATATTGACAAAACTTACTTCATTCAGTTTGGTAACAGAACTACAGATGTTCCTCTTAACATAATGATAAACGGATCACCTATCACAAAGCTCACAGAGGGAAAATTCTTAGGAGTCCACCTTGATAATAGACTCAAATTTCAAACACATGTACAACAAATTTCCAAGAAAGTCTCCAAGACTGTAGGCATACTATTGAAGATATGGTACTGTGTTCCACAGTCAGCCCTCCTGGCCCTATATCACTCACTCATTTACCCCCATCTCACCTATGGAATTTGTGCAAGGGGCTCAACAACAATAAATCATCTTGGACCATTAATTACCCAACAAAAGGCTGCAGTCGGAATGATAACAAATTCCCACTCCAGGTAGCATACTCCACCAATATACAAAACTCTAAACTTTCTCTGTACAAAACATCCATGCTTATTATTGTGCCTACTACATACATAGAACACTAAACTCGGATATAAACCCACCCCTCAAACTTCTCCTTACCAACCTCAACAGAACACATGACCATAACACAAGGCACAGATCACTCTTTGATGTTCCCTGTGTCCATCTCACACTATTTAAAACTCAATGCACATAAAAGGCCCAAAAATCTGGAATTCATTACCTGTGAATATAAAAGAAACACTGCCTGTTTATCAATTCAAGATTCTTCTTAAAAACCACTTACTCACCCACAACTAAATGAAGGCTGATTAACTGTATCTCATAAATGTATAACCTGTGACCCTATCAAACTATGTTTTTTTTTTAATTACATTACCTAATAGAATACTCCATTCTCTTGAATGCACAGTAACTCATCTAATGACCATATGACCTGTTTCTGCACTACAAATTATTGATTTTATTCGATTTGATCGGAGTATATTATACATTGCTATGCTACAAATTTGTACAACTTTAATGCTTCATATTTGAAATACTCATTTGTACGTCATGTTGTAATTTGTTTACTGTAATTTTTATCACTGAATATATCATTGCTTAGTTAATCTTAAGTTAATTTTAAGCCAGCCCATAATGCTCTGCATACAAGGGGCTTTTGGCATGTACACCCAATCACAATATTTCTTTGTACAACTATGTATCATGTCCAAATAAAAATAAATAAATAAATAACCCAGGCAGTATTCTGAAAAAACTTGTTAACTGTTATCAAATATTTTGTTTAAGTTAATCTTTTTTTAACAATATCAAACAGCTGTCATCGAATTCTTCAAATGACAATGACAAACAACAAAACTCTTCTTGGACTCCTTCCTATGAACCTGAAATACACTACTCAGAAAGAGGTAAGTAATGCATTCTGTATGAAACATATACATATGTAGAGCTGAGATATCCAGTTGAGAAAATGTTTGACGTTTCATTACAAGAAAGTAAACAGTAGGGCATAGAAAAAATGACAAACATAAAAATGATAATAATAATCATAATAATATCTTTATTTCTACAAGTATTGTACATGTATATGTACAAGGTCCACAGGCCTAGCTCACATCAATGACATACTACTATATAGAAAGCTGCTTGTTATGCAGAGCATTTCGGGCATATTAGGTCAGTTTTGTGCCAGGATGCGACCCACACCAGTTGACTAACACCCAGGTACCCATTTTACTGATGGGCGAACAGGGACAGCAGGTGTCTTATGGAAATACATCCTAATGTTTTCCACTCATCATGGGGATCGACCCCTGGACCTCAGTGTGTAAGCTGAGTGCACTAGTAATCAAACTATGTGACACCTAAATGATGATTTTTGAAAATGGTAATAGATGGGACACCTTATTGTTATTCTGTGTTATTCCTCATACAAGTGTCTCAAAATAATCATTCTTCTCTTGCAGCATCAAGAATGAGGAAGAAGAAGCACATTTTAGATTTTCCATTTGATGTTAGAGGAGAAAACACACAGAGTAAGAATCATTGTTATCTGTCTGCTTTTGAATTTTGGATTTACATGCTTGAACTTTATACAGATAAATTAAATATTTCATATAATGTATGTACTATATAGTGTGTCTGTTATATTGAAATGTTAAAAAAAAAAAGCAAAAAAAGATGCACTAAAGTATTCTACTGTACTGTACTGTATACTGTAATTTTTTTTTTAACAAGTCGGCCGTCTCCCACTGAGGCAGGGTGACCCAAAGAGAAAGAGAATCCCCAAAAAGAAAATACTTTCATCATCATTCAACACTTTCACCTCACTCACACACAATCTCTGTTTTTGCAGAGGTGCCCAGAACACAACAGTTTAGAAGCATATATGTATAAAGATATCCAACATATCCCCCCAAACTGCTAATATCCCAAACCCCTCCTTTGAAGTGCGGGCATTGTACTCCCCATTTCCAGTACTCAAGTCCAGCTATATAAAAATAACCAGTTTCCCTGAATCCCTTCACTAAATATTACCCTGCTCACACTCCAACAGCTCGTCAGGTCCCAAATACCACTCGTCTCCATTCACTCCTATCTAACACGCTCACGCATGCTTGATGGAAGTCCAAACCCCTCGCCCACAAAACCCTTTACCTCCTCCCTCCAACCTTTTCGAGGACGACACCTACCCCTCCTTCCTTCCTCTATAGATTTATACACTCCATGTCATTCTACTTTGATCCATTCTCTAAATGACCAAACCACCTCAACAACCCCTCTTCCTCAGATATACTGCAGTAAACATTGAAAATAAAAGAGTTAAAAGTACAATTTAATCAATGTATTTTACTTATAATTTTATATTGGGGTTTGTTATATCAAGTGCTTACAATAGTCACTTTTGATCAGTACCAGTGTTCTATCTAGGTTGGAATATTGCTGCACACTAACAGCACCTTTCAAGGCAGGTGAAATTGCTGACCTAGAAAATGTACAGACAACCTTCATGGCATTCATAACTGCGATAAACCACCTCAGTTACTGGGAACACTTGAAGTTCCTAAACCTGTACTCCCTAGAATGCAAGAGGGAAAGATACATGATTATATACCCCTGGAAAATCCTAGAGGGACTAGTGCCAAACTTGCACACGAAAATCACTCCCTACGAAAGCAAAAGACTTGGCAGTCAGTGCAACATCCCCCCAATGATAAGCAGGAGTGCCACTAGCATGATAAGAGACAACACACTAAGTGTCAGGGGCCCAAGACTGTTCAACTGTCTCCTAGCATACATCAGGGGGATTAGCAATAGACCCCTGGCTGTCCTCAAGCAGGCACTGGACAGGCACCTACAGTCGATACCTGACCAGCTGGGTTGTGGTTCATACGTTGGATTACATGTGACTAGCAGTAACAGCCTGGTTGATCAGGCCCTGATCTGCCATTAGGCCTGGTCACAGACCAGGCCATGGGGAAGTTAACCCCTGGAACTCTCTCGAGGTATACTCCAGGTACTCTTGTTTTTTTGTGAATCGTATATACTTAGAGGGTCCCTTCACAAACCACGGTCTTCTCCAATCAAGACTACTAAAACTGTGATTGGCAGGTGACTGGCTTTTTAAAACATAGCTTAGACATGTCAACTAATCCTGTGTTGTTTGTATATTTCTTCGCTAGAGTTACAGTACTTTTATTCTTTGTCCATTTTTAGTGTCTGTATACGTGTAAGTATGTGCATTGTTGTTTTATGTTCTGTAATGTTCTATTATTTATTTTATTTATTTATTTAGAAATTTTAGCATACAAACAGAGGTACAAAAAATACAGGTAAGAGCAGCATGCCAAAGCCACTTATATGCATAGCATTACGGGCTGGCTTAAAATTAACTTAAGATTAACTAAGCAATGATGAAATTTGTGATAAGACATTATTGTAAACAGATAACTATAAAATACAAATGAGTATTACAAAGATAGGTCCTATGGTTACATGCATTGCTGTTCATTCAGTAGAATGGAGTATTCTGTTAGGTAGTGTATTTAAAAAAAAAATAACAAAGTTAGGTTTAACATTTGTGTGATATAATTGTGAGTAACATTTAGGATATACAATTTATATGGTTCAGTTATTCAGTATTTATTTGGTTTTGAGTGAGTAAGTGAACTTTGAGAAGAGACTTGAATTTATAAACAGGTAGTGTTTCTTTTATATTTACAGGTAATGAATTCCAGATTTTAGGGCCTTTTATGTGCATTGAGTTTTTGAATAGCGTGAGATGGACACGAGGAACATCAAAGATGATCTGTGCCTTGTATTATGTCATGTGTTCTGTTGAGGTTGGCAAGGAGATGTTTGAGGGGAGGGTTAATATCAGAGTTAAGTGTTCTATGTATGTAATAAGAGCAATAATAAGTATGGATGTTTTGTATGGTGAGTAGGTTGAGTGTTTTGAATATGGTGGAGTGTGCTGCCTGTAGTGAGAATTTGTTATCATTCTAACTGCAGCCTTTTGTTGGGTAATTATGGTCTGAGATGGTTAGTTGTTGTTGAACCCCATGCACAAATTCCATAGTGAGATTGGGGTAAATAAGAGACTGATAAAGGGCCAGGAGGGCTGACTGTGGAACATAGTACCGTATCTTCGATAGTATGCCTACAGTCTTGGAAATTTTCTTAGAAATTTGTTGTATATGTGTATGAAATTTGAGTCTATTATCGAGGTGGATTCCTAAGAATTTTCCCTCTGTTAGCTTTGTGATAGGTGATCCGTTTATCGTTATGTTAAGAGGTACATCTGTAGCTCTGCTACCAAACTGAATGAAGTAGGTTTGTCAATGTTTAGTGTAAGTTTGTTAGTCCTCATCCAGGTAGATATTTTCTGTAATTCGGTGTTTACAGTATTGGCTAGCGTGACTGGGCTCGGGTGAGAGAAGACGTATGTGGTGTCATCTGCAAAATGTGTGGGTTTGAGTAATTGCGAAGCATTTGGTAGGTCATTTATGTATAGGAGAAAGAGAAGAGGGCCAAGGACACTTCCCTGTGGGACACCAACTGTAATTGGTTGTGCGGAAGAGCTTGCCCCATTTGCGTACACATATTGGCTTCTGTTGCTGAGGTAAGACTTGAGGTAGTTGAGGGAGTGCCCTCTAATACCATAGTGTGACAATTTTACATGGAGCAAGTCATGGTCAACTGTATCAAAAGCTTTATGTAAGTCAATGAAGATCCCCAGTGGAACTTCTTTTTTCTCTATTGCAGTGTATATATGTTCTAGCATGTGTATAATAGCATCATTAGTATTTTTATTAGGCCTGAATCCAAATTGGCAGGGGTTGAGAATGTTATGGGAGATGAGGTAGGAGTGGATTCGTTTATGAATTAATTTTTCGAAGATTTTTGAGAGAGGGTGTAAATTGGATATTGGCCTATAGTTATTCAACTCTGTTTGGTCTCCTCTTTTATGGATCGGGGTGACCCTTGCTATTTTGAGAACTGTAGGGAAGGTGGAGGATTCAATGGATTTGTTAAAGAGTGTTGCAATGATTGGTGATAGTACTTGTGACGCTTTTTGTATATAAAGGGTGGTAAGGTATTTAAATCTCCTGCCTTGTTTTTCAGTGCGTTGATAATAAGGGAGACTTCGTATGGGTTAGTCAGAGCTAGGAACAGTGTGTTCGGGTAGTTGCCAGTGAGGTAGTCATTTGGTGGGTATCTGAGCTTGGGATATTATTGGCAAGGTTTTGACCTATAGTGGAGAAGAAATCATTGAGTCTGTTTGCTGTTTCTGTTGGTGGGAGTTGGGTTCATCTGATTTTGCTAATTTTATTTCGCTATGTCGTGATATCTTTTTTGTTCCCAGAATTTCTGATAGGGTCTTCCAGGTCTTTTTATATCACCTCGTAAGTTGGATAATCTGTTCTCATAATACAATTTTTTTGCCCTTCTTATCAGGCTGGTTAGGATTGACGAGTAACGTTTTGTTTGGTCTCTGGTTATGTGACCCATTCTGTACTGTTTTTCATATCGGTGTTTTGTATTTATGGATTTGAGAATGCTGGGTGTTAGCCAGGGACTGTTCAGTCTCTTAGCTGTCATCTGTTTAGTTTTTTTTAGGGCAGTGCTTGTTATAAAGGTATTGGGTCTTTTTTAGAAAATTATTAAAACATTCGTCAGTATCTGTATAGATTTCTAGCTCAATGTGCCAGTCAATGTTTGTTACTGCTGTTGTGAAGTTATTAATGGCTGCCTCATTGTGAAGTCTGAAGGTGACTTTAGTAGTGTCTTGGGGTATTTTACCAAGAGTTGTTATGAGGAAAGTAGGGTAATGGTCTGTGGTATTATCTGTAATTATGCCTGATTTTAAAGGGGATATGGTGTTGGTCCAGATGTGGTCAAGTAGGGAAACACTAGTCTCTGTAACTCTTGTAGGTTTTGTTACTGTTGGTAGCAACATGCAGTTACTCATTGTGTTTGTGAATTCAGTACGTGTGGGTCCTGGTCTTGCAGGAGATTTATATTGAAGTCACCTGAGAGTAGTAAGTGATCTTTGTTCATGCGTGCATCAGTTATCATACTTCCTAGGTTTTGACTAAATTGGCTAATGTTTGATTGTGGAACTCTGTAGATGTTTATCACTGTGAGAGGTTTTTGTAGGTATTTGGATTTGAATTTAGCTATTATATATTCCCCATGTTCATCCCTTGTGTAAGTATTAGTGATACATTCTAGTTGGTCTGAGTAGTATATAGCAGTGCCACCCCCTTGTTGGTCTGGCCTACAGTTGTGTATGGCTGTGTAACCAGGAATGGCATAGACATCTGTAGTATCAGGCTTTAGCCAGGTTTCAGTTAGTGTAATGATGGACATATTGGCATGCAAGGAATTTAGTAATGCTAGGAGGTCATCATAATGCTTGCTTAAAGATCTGATATTGTAGTTAAAGATAGTTATGTTGTTGTTGGCTCTGAGAAGTGCCTTTGATTGTTCTGCTGTGTAGTAATTACAGTAACTGTTTGAATCATTTAAGTCATTAAATAAGAGGTTGGTATCAGGATCAATGCTTGTAATCATAAGATTTGTAGTGAATCTATAGTTAGAATTAAGTAAAAAATAAAGTAAATATTCTAAAGCTAAAAAAAAAATAGCATATCTTAGGTTTAAGTTTCCCTGAAATATTCTGCATTACCAAGGACTCTATGTAGACCATCTAATGTCATCCAGTTTTGTAAAAAACTACCATATGTATTATGTGGAAATAAAATACTGTATTTATTTATTTTATTTATTTTTCTTCTAGGTGATCAAAATTTAGTCAGGCAGTTCAACACATCTAAAACATGCTCTCTTCACTCCTTATTTGGAAGAGAGGATGTGATTCGATGCCCTTGTGGTGTGTGCCGTGAGGATGGACCCATGATTAAATGTACTCTTTGTGATTTTCGTCAACATGCAGTTAAGTTCTCTTCATAATGTTGTTAACACCATAGGAGAAACTAATTTAGATTATAGGGTTGAGAACTGATTTTATTATTATGGGGATACAGTGGAACCTCGGCTTACAAACTTAATCCGTTCAGTGACCTTGTTCGTATCCTGATTTGCTCGTATGCTGAGTCAATTTTCCTCATTTAACCCCTAAACGGTCTAAACGTATATATACGTTCGCTCGTGTAGCGCCCCAAATTTTTTGAGAAAAAAAAATTTTTTTTTTTTTTTTTTAATAGGAAAAAAGAGGATATGGTACCCAGGCATCCCCAATTATTTTAATATGGTGCACAGTGAGTGTGCACACCCATTCTCTCATATCTAGGCGATCAGGCTTATCAGGGCAATGTTGAATGAATGACAAAGAAAACGTATATATACGTTTGGGGCGCTACGCGAGAGAACGTATATATATACGTTTGGACCATTTAGGGGTTAAATTAATTGAAATGGCATTAATCCGTATCAGAGGAATTCCTGCTCTCAGGAGGCATGACAAAATAACGCTAATATCAACTCTGTGGCTTATTTATCTATCACAATTCATCTAATATGACTTAATAAACAGTTTAAATAACATAGAAACCTGATACATGTATACACTCTATTTATTTTTTTATTTATTTATTTATTAACAATTTGAGCACACATACAGAGGTACAAAAAAATGCAGATAAGAGTAGCATGCCAAAGCCACTTATACTATGCATAGCATTATGGGCTGGCTTAAAATTAACTTAAGATTAACTAAGCAATGATGAAATCAGTGATAAAACATTAATGTAAACAGATACTATAAAGCACAAGTGAGTATTACAAAGACAGGTCATATGGTTGCATGCATTGTTGTACATTCAGTCGTATGAAGTATTCTGTTAGGTAGTGTAATTAAAAAATAATAAAGTTAGTGTAATTAAAAAATAATAAAGTTAGATTCGGTTTTAGGTTTAACATTTATGTGATATAATTGTGAGAAACATTTAAGATATACAATTTATAAGGTTCAGTTATTCAGTATTTATTTGGTTTTGGGTGAGTAAGTGATCTTTGAGAAGAGACTTGAATTTATAAACAGGTAGTGTTTCTTTTATATTTACAGGTAATGAATTCCAGATTTTAGGGCCTTTTATGTGCATTGAGTTTTTGCATAGTGTGAGATGGACACGAGGAACATCAAAGAGTGATCTGTGCCTTGAGTTATGGTCATGTGTTCTGTTGAGGTTGGCAAGGAGATGTTTGAGGGGAGGGTTAATATCAGAGTTAAGTGTTCTATGTATGTAATAGGTGCAGTAATAAGTATGGATGTTTTGTATGGTGAGTAGGTTTAGTGTATTGAATATTGGTGGAGTGTGCTGCCTGTAGTGAGAATTTGTTATCATTCTAACTGCAAATATGTCATTATGTATGTTGCAAGTGGTGGTGGCAGTGGAGGAGAGTGGTCGCAGGCATTCTCGCTCCAGCTATGAAAACGTCTTCGGAGGTGTTAGTATAAGAGAAAATGGAGTTTGTGAGGCTAACTGCATTAGATCACTACTTTCATAAGGAAAACATATTGTAGAAATAAACTGATGTACGTACCTTGGTGAAAAAATGCTGGCGAAGGTTGACGGTGGAAAAGATAGGCAGAGCGGTGTATGCTGTCAGGAGTTCATTTCATTTTGTCCTTTTTCTATCGCTTAATCACTTAATTGCTACACTCTTAATGCTGCACTTTATCACTGAACTTAACTGCTAAAATTTTTATTTTTATCTCGCTTCACTATTCACTGATTTTTGGCTTTTTCTCCATGCTTTTCACACTTTCATCTACAAGGTGTTTCAATAAAAAACTGTTAAAGGAGGTTTGTTTCTTAATCAGTTTCAGAATGTTTTGGAAATGAGCTATGCTCTGCCATCTCATGGTGGCATTCTCAAACTCACTTATTATAGTATGTACTATTTATTTATTTATTTATTTATTTATTTTTATTTATTTAGAAATTTTAGCATACAAACAGAGGTACAAAAAATACAGGTAAGAGCAGCATGCCAAAGCCACTTATATGCATAGCATTACGGGCTGGCTTAAAATTAACTTAAGATTAACTAAGCAATGATGAAATCAGTGATAAGACATTATTGTAAACAGATAACTATAAAATACAAATGAGAATTACAAAGACAGGTCCTATGGTTGCATGCCTTGCTATACATTCAGTAGAATGGAGTAATCTGTTAGGTAGTGTATTTAAAAAAATAACAAAGTTAGGTTTAACATTTGTGTGATATAATTGTGAGTAACATTTAGGATATACAATTTATATGGTTCAGTTATTCAGTATTTATTTGGTTTTGAGTGAGTAAGTGAACTTTGAGAAGAGACTTGAATTTATAAACAGGTAGTGTTTCTTTTATATTTACAGGTAATGAATTCCAGATTTTAGGGCCTTTTATGTGCATTGAGTTTTTGCATAGCGTGAGATGGACACGAGGAACATCAAAGAGTGATCTGTGCCTTGTATTATGGTCATGTGTTCTGTTGAGGTTGGCAAGGAGATGTTTGAGGGGAGGGTTAATATCAGAGTTAGGTGTTCTATGTATGTAATAAGTGCAATAATAAGTATGGATGTTTTGTATGGTGAGTAGGTTGTGTTTTGAATATTGGTGGAGTGTGCTGCCTGTAGTGAGAATTTGTTATCATTCTAACTGCAGCCTTTTGTTGGGTAATTAGTGGTCTGAGATGGTTAGTTGTTGTTGAACCCCATGCACAAATTCCATAGGTGAGATAGGGGTAAATAAGAGAGTGATTATTATAGTATTACTATTATATTATTATTATTATTTTTTTTTTCTCGACAAGTCGGCCGTCTCCCACCGAGGCAGGGTGACCCAAAAAAGAAAGAAAATCCCCAAAAAGAAAATACTTTCATCATTATTCAACACTTTCACCACACTCACACATTATCACTGTTTTTGCAGAGGTGCTCAGAATACAACAGTTTAGAAGCATGTACGTATAAAGATACAAAGCATATCCCTCCAAACTGCCAATATCCCAAACCCCTCCTTTAAAGTGCAGGCATTGTACTTCCCATTTCCAGGACTCAAGTCCAACTATATGAAAATAACCGGTTTCCCTGAATCCCTTCACTAAATATTACCCTGCTCACACTCCAACAGATCGCCAGGTCCCAAGTATCATTCGTCTCCATTCACTCCTATCTAACACGCTCATGCACGCTTGCTGGAAGTCCAAGCCCCTCGCCCACAAAACCTCCTTTACCCCCTCTCTCCAACCCTTTTGAGGACGACCCCTACCCCTCCTTCCTTCCCCTATAGATTTATATGCTTTCCATGTCATTCTACTTTGATTCATTCTCTCTAAATGACCAAACCACCTCAACAACCCCTCTTCTGCCCTCTGACTAATACTTTTATTAACTCCACACCTTCTCCTAATTTCCACACTCCAAATTTTCTGCATATTTACACCACACATTGCCCTTAGACAGGACATCTCCACTGCCTCCAACCGTCTCCTCGCTGCTGCATTTACCACCCAAGCTTCACATCCATATAAGAAACACTACCTGTTTATAAATTCAAGTCTCTTCTCAAAGATCACTTACTCACTCAAAACCAAATAAATACTGAATAACTGAACCTTATAAATTGTATATCCTATATGTTACTCACAATTATATCACACAAATGTTAAACCTAGGACCCAATCTAACTTTATTATTTTTTTTAAATACACTACCTAACAGAATACTCCATTCGACTGAATGTACAGCAATGCAAACAACCATATGACCTGTCTTTGTAATACTCATTTGTGCTTTATAGTTATCTGTTTACAATAATGTTTTATCACTGATTTCATCATTGCTTAGTTAATCTTAAGTTAATTTTAAGCCACCCTTAATGCTATGCATATAAGTGGCTTTGGCATGCTGCTCTTACCTGTATTTTTTGTACCTCTGTTTGTATGCTTAAATTACTAAATTACTAAATGATTCGGTTAAGTTTCATGTAACATAAATTTCCCTTTCTGGGAAAGTACTGTATTTAAATCCTCCATGCTATTTAGTATTTACGTATTTAAATTGTGTTTGTTCACTTATGCTGAACATGAAGTCCCATCTTGATTCACTCCTTTCCTCTGCAGTGAAATATTTTTTGCTTGATACCATAATTATTATTTTGAGTTCTCCTAGCCACATCTGCAGTAAATTTTAAATATTTTTTCAGGTGTGTTTTAGATTGTTGGAAGTAAACTACCTACAGTCTAATCATGTCTGTGAATTATGTGCTAATGTAACTCATCCCTGTACGGATTACTCCCTTGTCAACACAGATCTCTGCAGGGTAATGTATCACACCTAATTAAATATATTACGTGACAAAAATTAACAAGTTCCAGGAAAACTGGATATCAAAACAACATTCTAGAGACCAGGAAAAGGCTTTGTGTTTTGTGTTTGTATGTATTCGTTGTGTATATATAGAGATAATGGGTACATTGGGGAGAGAAAGCCTGTGATCTGTGAATTGCCCATCATTTTATTTTGATGCGCCTTTTCAGCTGTATTCTAAACTGTAGCATCACATTAGCATCTTGTAGAAGTGGTCTGTGCTTTCATTATCAAACTTATTCAATATTTTAAATGTATCTTTGAGATCAGCCCAGCTATGCTTTGATTGATATGTCCCCTGTCTTTTTTTAATCTTACCTTTAATTTTTATTTTACAGTCACCTCTTATAAAGCTGTATAATGCATTTTTTGCAGCTGTAATTGAAAAAGTGCATTTAAAATCAATTAGCATGCACTATGAAGGCATTTTCACATATTATGCAATTTTTTATGCATACTTTTCAGTCACATTTACAAAAAAAAATCACTTTACCTATGTAGAGGAGCTTTGTAAGAGAGCTGACTGTATTGACAATCTCTAACCTTTATCACATTATTTTTATTGCATTTACTTTTCATTCTACTGCATCATGTTTTTTCTCTTGTCCATCTAACAGTTTTGATTTGTACACATTGGACAATTTTTAAAAATATGTATTACCACCTTAAGCCAGCAAATAGTGGAACCAACAAGACTGGAAAATACATTTGACCTTATCTTCACTAATAATGATTATCTGATACGAAATATACCAGTAAAGACAATACACTCAGATCATAATATAATAGAAGCACAGACATGTACTGTATGTGCAGGGCTCCTGACCAGCAAAACGAGATCAGTTATAAGGGTGTTTTCACCAATTTTTTTATTTCTTCCAAAGCAAATAGAATTAATCTTTGAGTAAAGAAATGTACACATTCACTTATTTCAATGATCTCTTCCTTGTTTTCACAATGAGTGGCAGTGATAGTATGATGGCATGCCCCACAGATTAGTCAATCAAGTCATCTAGAATTGGGGGTGGAATCAGCCATCAGCCCCCCAAAACAATCCCCTAAGCAACAAGAATAATAATAATAATAATAATGAATGTGAAAGTGTTTTGCTTTTTTGGGTCACCCTGCCTTGGTGTGAGACGACCAGCATATTGGGAAAAAAAAATAATAATAATAATGCTTCAAGACAGTTTCCTAGCCCCATCCTCTTCGAGCCAGATTGCCATCTTTCTCCTAGTCTCTTTTGTATATAGGTAACTAACATCTAATATAAGGAACTTGTATCTCAAATGCAGATGCTGTTGTCCTCAGCAATATAGTTAATGCTGAGATATATGACCCCAGTGGTTTTAGTGCTTCTCTTTCATTAAAATGAAACAATGTGCTCAGAGAGTTATACTGTATGTGTGGATGACAAAACGCTCACACCTAATACTGATCAGACCTACATAATATTTGGGAACAAAGCTAATTTTTTTTTTTTTCAACAAGTCGGCCGTCTCACACCGAGGCAGGGTGACCCAAAGAGAAAGAAAATCCCCAAAAAGAAAATACTTTCATCATCAGTCAACACTTTCACCTCACTCACACATAATCACTGTTTTTGCAGAGGTGCCCAGAATACAACAGCTTAGAAGTATATACGTATAAAAATACACAATATATCTCTCCAAACTGCCAATATCCCAAACCCCTCCTTTAGAGTGCAGGCATTGATAAATAATATATGCACTGAAAGATGAAAAGAGGGTAAATTCCTAGTTATACACCTCTAGAGCAAACTAAACTTCAACTCTCACATATAGCTCATCTGTAAGGAAATATCTAAGACAGTGGGTATTTTTTTAAAACATATGTTACCATGTGCCATTAACTTTATTGTTCACCCTTTATGATTTTCTGATCTACTCTTATCTCACAGTATTTGTGTTTGGGGATCTACAACAGCAAATAATTTTTAACCTTTCGTTACTGAACAAAAATCTGTTAGAATGATCACTCAACGGTGCACTCTGACTCTAACACTGACCCAGCATTCATATTAATCACAAACATTTTATATTCTCAGATGATTTGCTGGGGGAAGGGGGCAGTAAGTATACTAATAACTAAGGAACTGTGTGTACAGTACACATTTATTTGGGTTATCCTAGGTAATTTATACTATTTATGATAATTGTACTTACATGTACCTGTGCTTAAATTAACTTACTTATTAATCTTAAAAAAAACAAACAAATAACAAAATTTTCCTCCTGAAGGTGAGGGAAACCTGTTTATTTCGCCGTCTCCTGATACACTTGTGTAATAATACAGACTACCACACTGCTGCTTCTGTGGCAGAATTACTGCATGTCACATTCAACATGGGAAAGAGACTTATGGTGCGTTTACAGTCTGAAGGAGTCTTGGCTTGTAAACCGTGTAATGAGTAAGTATTTAAAAAAAAAAAAAAAAAGTTTGTACAAGATTGTTACATTTCTGAAAAGCCTGAAGTTATACAGATAATTATGGGTAGATTTATTTTGGTACTAGACCTGCTTAAAACTAATAACATACCTACATAATTGAAACAGTTTTTAGTATGAATTCAGTACAATTTCTGGGTTATAAAAATATTTATGTTTGAAAAGTTACAGTAATATGTGACAATTCTGTATAAAAAGATGGCCAATGCCAATATTATAAAGGGTATGGGGTTAACAGTACAAGTAGTTAGACTAAAATTATTAATAATTAAAATTTAGAGTAGGTATACAGTTATGACAAGGGTATGAATAAAAAGTTCCCAAGATGCATTCACAATATTTTGGTTGTGGAAGTAAACTAGGTCAATTTTCATAAGTTTTATTTAGTGTTCCTAATAATACTGTAGTATTTTTGAAGTTGGTACAGCAGTTGATTTATTGTGTAAATAGCTCATCAAATATACTGTTTCATATTTTGCATTCTTTCATTTGCAAAATTTTTTGCTAGATTAAGTTATATTTGTTGAATATCACAATTTTTTTTTTTTGTATTGTGCCAATATGTTTTATTGCAGCTTTCCGAGGAATGTTTCAAGTCTTGATTGATATTAACGTCTTGTATTATGGGGAAACGGAAAAACTGTAAATGTTTTGTGCATAGCATTGGGTATATTTTTTTGTTCAGGTCAAAAACATAATACCTTTTTTTTTAATTTGTGGTATTGTATTTTGTCATGTTTGTAAGTGCTCAATTAATTTGTGTAAGTTATTTTTGGTTTATGAATTAAGCTTTTTATTTATCAAAAACAAATGATGCATTACATACCCACATTACAGTTGTATAATCATTTATTTTGTATCTTGGTCCTGTACATCATTCAAAGCTATATCTCTCGTTTTTTTCCCACTTTGTTTGAGTAAAATTTTTTAGGCTTCGTAATTGCAAATTTTGACAATTTCAAAATTTTTCTATGAATGTTCTAAGGATAATTGATGGAATTATGAAATTTAAGACTAAAAACCCCTTAACTGTCCAAACGTAGATCTACGTTTTTCAACTTTGAAAGTTGAAAAAAAATGTAGATCTTTTTTTTGTTTTTTTACATTTGAAAATGTGAAAAAACTTTGATTACATTTTTTCTTTTTTGGTTTTTTTGAAAATATGAAAAAAAAAGAAATTTTATTTTGGAGCAAGCTGTGAAATAGATCTTTTTCTTTTTTTCAGCCCTGAGGTCGATGGTGGATCAGAAAATTTTGGGTTTCAGATGCATTCCCTCATACTTTTGGTTTAAAAATGTTCCTCTAACCCCATAAGTTTTGGGGGAAATATGTCCCTACTGTACCTTCTGTATTGAATTCTATAACTGAGCTTGTGTGTTTTTTTTTTTTTTTCCCACAATTTCTTCCAGTTTCACTTGTTGTTTAATTAATAGATATGTTTTGGAATGCAGGTTTTTTAAAGATAAAAAATGATTTGTATCCAGTAGATTTTTTTACCCCAAAATATTTTACAGTATGTATTCACTGATTTTTTGCAACTTTTTGAATTTTCTATTTGTTGCCAGTTTACCCTTTAATGAAAAATTTTCCCCCCAAAATTAGTCTTAGATTTTTCCCCTTTTGCATTTTCTTTGAAAACTCATATAATATTCATCTGGTTCTCTTTTATTAAATTTCTAGTTGTATTACAGTTTAATAAAATAACGTCCTTATATATGCATTTTCCATGTAGTTACTGAAAGCGGCCCAGTATAAATTCCCTAAAAGCGAATGTGTTTTATTCTGTCGCGGGCAGTGGCCGGGAACAGGAGAAGAAGATTTTTGTTCAGTAGTTGGGGAAGGTGGGGGTAAAGTTGCCATGGTTTTGGGGGTATTTTGGTGGGGTTAATTTTTGGGAATTTTTTTCTTTTAACTATAGGTGTTTGTGTTTAAGTGCTCTCTGTTTTTTTTAAAGGCCCTAGTATCAAGGCTTGTTTATTGTGTACTGTATGGTACGCTGGTAATTAGTCTACCAACAGAAATGAAGACGGGGGTGTTAGTCATGGAGCCTCACTGATTTTTATTTTAATCAGTAGCAGTGGTATGAGTTAAGGGTGAAAGGGGATTGGTGGTTTTTTGGGAGTAGTTGTAATTTGTATATAATTTACTTTTATTATAGAAATTTTTATATGGTGAGTTTTTGCCCTTCCTTCTAATAATAATTATATTTTTATATTTTGGGGTTTGTTTTGCGCATTAATATATATATATTATAATATTATATATTAATATATAATATATTAAAAGTAGGTTGGGTTGGTGACAGCAACCATCCAGGGGGGTTTCTACCGTCTAAAAATTTGGTTTAAAACGAAAGCCTTAATTTTTTTAAATGTGGTAGGATTGCTGAGTTTTTTGTTGTCTCAAAATATGCAAGTTTACGGGCATTCTTGTACTTCAAATTACACTTAGGACAAAAAATACTGTACACATTTTTTATACACACTATCTAGTTTTTTTTGTTTTACTTATATTTCTTGGTTTTTTATTATTTTCCCTTTTTATACCATGGGGAAGGGGAATAAGAATTTTCCCCCGTAAATGCGTGTTGTAAAATTCAACTAAAATCCCGGGAACAAGGGGCTAGTAACCCCTTTTCCGAAAAGTTTACTAAAAAAGAAAAGAAGAAATTGTTTTCTTTCTTTTTTGGCCCCCTGCCTGGTGGGAGAGGGCCCCGACTTTTAAAAAAAAAAAAAAAAAATATAATATTAATATGTGTATTAGTATATATAATTATATGGTTGTTATTATTAATTTATATATAAATATATAATTATATATAATTATATATATATATATATAATATAGTATATATATTATATATATATAATTTTTATATATATATTATTGTGTAATGTAATTTATATATATGTATTATATATGTATTATATATAAATGTATTTTTAAATTTATAGTATATTATATTTTTAAATAATATATATTATATTATATTATATAAAAATTTTATATATAAAATATATATTAATATTTTTATTATATATATATTATTTTTATAATATATATATATAATATATATAAAATATATATTTGGTCTTTTAGAGAGAATGGAAAAAAGTAAATGACATGGAAAGATTAAATTAGGGGGAAGGAAGGGGGGGTGGGGTCGTCCTAAAAAGGGGTTGGGGAGAGGGGGAAAAGGGGTTTTTGTGGGAAAGGGGTTTGGGATTTCCAGCAAGCTGCGTGAGTGTGTTAGATAGGAGTGAATGGAGACGAATGGATTTGGGACCTGACGATTTTGGGGTGTGAGCGGGATTGAGTGAAGGGATTTGGGGAAACGGGTTATTTTTCATATAGTGGGATTGATCCTGGAAAATGGGAAGTAAAAAGCCTGCTTTTTAAAAGGGGGGGTTTTGGGGATTTTGGGCAGTTTGGAGGGATATGTTGTGTTCTTTATATGTGTTGCTTCTAAACTGTTGTTTTCTGGACCTCGCAAAAACAGTGATAATGTGTGAGTGTGGTGAAAAGGTTGAATGATGATGAAAGATTTTTTTTTTTGGGATTTTCTTCTTTTTTGGGCCCCTCCCTGGGTGGGAGAGGGCCCACTTGTTGAAAATAAATAAATAAAAATTGGGGTACGCGGCCCAAAGGTTTGCTGTGTTTTCAGTGTAATTTTTTTAACCCCTAAAAGCAGTGGAGCACCTTTGGGGACCGGAACATTTTATTTAAGTTATGACATAAAAGTCATAACTACTGAGTAGCTTCTGTACTTGCTCCTTAAATTTTTCAGTTGTCTTTTTTCATTTGGCTTTTTGGGGCTAAAACTGCTCCCAGGGCCATGGGGCTTGAACCAGGCCGGGGGCTTTGCCCCACTAAACCCTCTCCGGTATCCCAAAAGTATAATTTAATTGAAAATTTTGTAAACCCCTTCGGGAAAACTTTTTTTTAAACTTCTCTATTCAAATTTTTCTATTCAAGGATTTTGTTTTCATCTGTTGTTTGTTTATTTTCTCTTTCACATTTAGTTTGCTCTTTACAAACTTTAACATTAATGTTTTGGTTCTCCTTTGTTTTGTCCGTTTTTTCAAAATCAAGAATTCTTTTTTTCCCCTTTATGTGCCTCTCTAATCTTTTGACTACCGCCCGCCCGTGGGTAGGGTGATAAAAAAGATATTAAAAAAATTTTACACTTAAGCAGTATATGATATTTTTTTTCTATTTGTTTGAATTTCTGGAAAAGTAATCTTTTGTTCGAATAATCCGGAAAATTCGCAGGTACCCTTCAGCGCAGTAGGCATGAATGCTTTTTTTAAAATTTTTAAATACAGTATCATTACTATCTTGCAGTTATTTAAAAGGAATGTTTTCCCCTATGCCCCCATGAAATCTCGGAAACTATTTTGTGTCTGGCCAAAAGGCAGAGAGCATGTTCTTGGGTGCCGGGGGAAAGAAAAACAACCGGGAAGGTGGAAAATTAAGTATAAAAAAAAAAAGGGGGGGTTTTAGATTTTCACCAGATCAGTGACCCTGTCAAGAGAAGTTTACGTGTTAAACAAAATGCAGTTTTTAAATAGAAAAATTGTGCCCTTTTTTAAAATCACAACCTTTTATTTTACTGTATGTCCTTGATTCAGCGGGTGTTGCATCATTGTATATAGTACTGTATGTTAAATTCTTCCCAACTTAAGTGGATTTTTTTTTTTTTTTTTAACAAGTCGGCCCCCCACCGAGGCAGGGGACCCAAAAAAAAGAAAACCCCCAAAAGAAAATACTTTCATCATCATTCAACACTTTCACCCCACTCCAAAAATTATCACTGTTTTTGCAAAGGGGTAGAATACAACTTTTTGAAGCATACCTTAAAGATATAAAAATATCCTCCAAACTGCCAATATCCCAAAAAACCCCTCCTTAAAAATCCCAAAATTGTACTTCCCCTTTCCAGGATCAAGTCCGATATATGAAAATAAAAGGTTTTCCCGAAACCCCTTTACTAAATATTACCCTGCTCCACTCCACAAACGTCAGGTCCCAAGATCATTCGTCTCCCTTCACTCCTATCTAACACGTCACCCACGTTTTGGAGTCGAAGCCCCCCTTTCCCCCAAAACCCCCTTTAAAACCCCCCTCTCCCAAACCCCTTTTGAGGACCCCCCCTAACCCCCCCTTCCTTCCCCCCATAGATTTATATGCTTTCCCCTGTCATTTACTTTTATCCATTCTCTCTA